AGGTATTAGGAAGGTACTCTTAATGTCCATGTTTTCATGCTGTATAACAGTATGGACCATACATAGCATTTAACCACCCTGTAACGGAGATTGAAGGAAAGATTGCGGTAACATAGTAGCGGTTTAAATTTGATAAAAGCTTGTCTTGCTCGTTCGGTACGGCATTTTTTTTCTTGTTGAGGATCCCATTGGTCATTCATCATCATTCCCAAGTATTTAAATGTTTCCACTTGATCGATTGGAGCACCATCTACTTGCAGTTGTATTCTTAAAAGTGCGTTTTTTCTTATTGCCATGCATTTAGTTTTTCCAGCATTTATCTTCAAGCCTTATATTTTTCCTACGGTGTTTCTTTTATATAACATCAACTGCATATCATGTTCGTTGTCTGTTATTATCGCGGTGTCGTCGGCGTAACGAATGCTATTGATCGGGAACCCGTTTACCTTTATTCCACACTTAGAGCCTTCCAGAGCCTCTGCAAAAATGTTCTCCACATAGAGATTAAAGAGCATAGGAGAAAAAATACACCCCTGTCGCACCCCTCTTAAAAGTTGTTTCTAGAAGTGAATAATCTCAATTTTTGCGCCCCTATAAAGTTAGTGTGGGTTCCGCGGGTGCCGTGGCCACGGCTATAGCCAAATATCAACAGGTTTTTTTCAACAAGTATCAACAGAAGAGCTCCAGGTAAATGCGTGACGTGACAATATTTTCTCTTCTTGTACGAACATTTCTCTTGTGCGAAAATCACACGCTACCGCTTAGTTTCCAGCGTCGCTTCTGGTTGCAACCCTTGTACCTTGTGCCATTTCGTATCCTCTCTTGGATATGAAGCTCACACATGTGCGTTCAAGTATCTCTAATCGACTAGAGAAGTTAATTGTTCAATATTTTTAATATATTGTACTTTTTTCAAGTTCATTACTGATTAATTGTAAATAAATTTATCATCAAACATACATTTTAAATCTAGTAAGACCTTGACAAGAAATTTATGTCTGGATGACATAATTCAAAGAAATTTTTATAAAACTTTGTTTTCTTTGTTATGCGTAGGTAAGTCGCGTGTGTCATTGAATGTTGTTTGTTTTTGAGATATAGGTTAAAGTTCAATAATTATTGCATTTCAGTAGCGTAACTGATTTCTTTATTAGTTGTCGTATAATAAAAATTGCATATTATGCTGTTGATCTGCCTCGCATAAATTTATATTGATTTTCTGAGGTATCTTTGTTTACGTCTATAGATTATTGTTTCTTATTTTATATTCACGGTGTGGTTTAGGTTTATGTCCCTACAATTTGTTCGTTGTTGAACATCGCCTTTTGTTTTTGTACAAAAGCACTAAAGCAGCTTCTTCATTTTTGTGGCGTTGTCACACTTCCAAGCTAAGATATAATGTTTTATACTTGTTTTGTTTGCTGAACAAAACTTTCCCTTAACCCTACGTTAGGCGCGTGCATATTACTGACTCGGTTTGGCGCGTTTTCTACAATGGGTGGTCCAATTTATTTATGAATTTTAATTGGTTGATTTATCTCAACTTAAATAAAAACAATTAAAAATTAATAGTTTTATATTGGAATTAGACGAAAATATGAAAATATGAAATAAACACTGAAAACTTCTAAAAATTTAAATCATCATCATCAATCAGCCAATTGCGTCCACTGCTGGACATACGCCTCCCTCAGTTCTTTCCAGTGTTCTCTACACTGGGCCGCTTGTAGCCAGTTTCCCGCTACACGTTTAATATCATCGGTCCATCTAGTCGGTGGTCGTCTTCGGCTTTTTTTTATAGTTTCTGGGCCTCCATTCCACAATACGTCTTGTCCACCGTCCATCTTGTGTTCAGGCTAAGTGGCCTGCCCAGTTTCACTTAAGCGTCGTAGTTCTTTCGATGACGTCTTGTACTCCTGATCTTTGCCTGATTTGTTGGTTTGTTATGTGGTCTCGAAGGCTCACGTTCAGCATTGCACGTTCCATGGACGTTGCACATTGCATAAAAATTTAAATAAAATATTTTACTTTATGCGTAAAATTTTGCACCAAGGTACAGAAATTGCATAATAACCTTGTTTTCTGTATTAAAAAAAACATATAAGAACATTAAATGCAACATGTATTAGATAATCTTTTTAAATTTTTAACATTTTTAATGCAAACAGTCTAAATTTGCTGCATGTACTCTACACAGATCTCACTCAAATGTTCTTTGCAGGCATATCTTTTACACTTTTTACATTGGTTTCAAGTTAATCAATCGCGTTTTCTATAACAAAATATACAACGTCTTACTGTATTTTGACTTGTCTAAGGGAGCGGTATTGCCACTTCTGAAATTAATAATAGAACACGAAATTAAAACAAAAAAAAAACAACAAAAAAATGATTCGATAATGATTGCCTGAACTCCATAACAGCAAGAAATATGGCTAGAAGGAACATGCTACAAAACCCTTCGCACAACAACAATGAAATGTATAGACAAAGCAGAACAGAGACAAGAAAACTAATGAAAAGGAAGAAGAGAGTATCAGGAACAAATAATCAGAGATATAGAAGAAAAAAGAAAGAACAAACAAGCGAGACAGTTCTTCAAAGGAGTTTCAGATATCAAGACCGGGTACCAAGCAAGAACAGGAAATTTCCTTCAAAACGACAGTGGACGGCTTATCACAGATGACAAGAAAATCCTAAAAAAACTGGAAGGAATACTTCTATCAACTATTGAATGACCAATCTAGCAGAAACATGCAGGAGAAGCGTTGTACAGTTCTATATACAAGCTAATTCAAGACATTTGGCGAGAAGAAACAATGCCAGATGAATGGAAAGAAGGGTTATTGTACCAATACACAAAAAAGGAAACAAAAAGTATTAACTACAGGGGAATAACACTCCCAAACACCACCTACACAATCCTTGCAAACATCCTGCTAGAAAGAACCAAAACACACACAGAAGAAATCGTTGGAGATTATCAATGTGGATTTAGACCGGGCCGCTCTACTATTGACCAGATATTTACAATAAAACAGATAATGAAAAAATGCTGTGAGTTTGATCGTGAGCTTCATAAGATGTTCATAGATTTTAAACAAGCATTTAATAGAGTATGCAGGGACTCTGGATAGCGATGCAGGAACTTGGCTTTCCAAAAAAACTAGTCAGGTTGATACGGATGTGTATGGAACAGTTACGATGTAAGGTGAGAGTTGGACAACAATACTCGGAGACATTTGAAATAAACAATGGACTAAAATAGGGAGATAAACTTTCACCAGAACTCTTCAACTTAGCTCTGGAGCACATAATCAGAAGTGCATGAATCGAAAAACCGCATACAGTATTTCATCGAGAAGGACCAAACTACTGGCATTTGCAGACGATATCGGTCTACTAGGAAACGCAACGATTAAGGATGAAGGAGACTTTCGTGAGGTTCGACAAGGACACAGAGAAGATGGGGCTCCAAATCAACGAAAACAAGACGAAATATATGTATATGAGCCGCAATAACCAAAGCAGAGACAGAATCGGTCAGAACATCACTATCGATGACTTTAACTTTGAGCGCGTTAGAGAATTCAAATATCTTGGAACAACAATAACGGATCAGCAATTATTGCCGAATCAGAAGATGATCTCCAAAGGCAGCTCTTTCAGTTCTTTCAAACAAGCCGACTACTAAATATGAACATCTCTACCAACAAAACTAAATGTATGACAATAGCAAAAGATCCGCTCAGATGTAAGTTAGTGGTTGAGGACAACCCCATAGAACAGGTGATGCAATTCAGATATCTGGGCATAGATATATCAAGCACCCACGACCCAGTAAAGGACCTGAGGAGTCAGATCAACAAAGCATCTGCACTGTCAGGATGTCTGCGGGAGATAGTCTGGTCAAATCCGTATATGCGCACAGATAGTAAAATTAGAATCTATAAGACTTGCATACGACCGATCATGACATATGGCATAGAAGTGCGCGAAGATACTAACAAAACGAAACAGATGCTAAGGGTTGCCGAAATGAAAACCCTAAGAACAATAATGGGGAAAACAAGAAGAGACAGAGCGAGAAATACAAACGTTAGAGAGCAGTGCAAAATTCAAGATATTGTAAGATGGGGAAGGCAGCGCAAGAGGATGTGGTACAACCATGTAAGACGAATGGATGAGAATAGACTCCCAAAAATTGCCCTAGAAAACAATCCGCCTGGTTCAAGACCCCCGGAAGACCACCTAAAAGATGGAGGGATAGTTGGCAATCTACCTCCCAAGAAATTAACCAGAGGCAGCTTCAGAATTAAACAGATCGAAAGATCTACAAAAAGTAGAAGAAGAAGAAGAAGAATAACGGATCACAAGAAATAAACAACAGGATTCGGGCCGGCAACAGATGTTTTTTGGCCCTCCAAAACCTTATAAAATCGAAACAACTAACACGACGTACGAAGATACAGGTCTATAAAACAATCATACGACCCGTTGTGATGTATGGATGCGAAACGTGGACGATAACAAAGGCAAACGCAGAGAGACCAAACGGATGAAGCATCAGGACAATATAGGATAAGAACTAACAAAGAGCTCGAAGAACTTTACCCAGATGCCAACATAATAAAAGAAATAAAGTCCAGAAGACTCCAATGGGCAGGACACCTCAGAAGACATTCTGACGAACGAACAGTAAGACTGGTGTGGGAGGAAGTCCCAATTGGAAGGAGACCACGCGGACGCCCTTGTCTCCGGTAGCGAGATAATATAGCAGGGGACCTAAGCACTATGGGCGTGGAGAATTGGATGGAGGTTGCTCAAGACAGAAAACAGTGGAGGCATGTTATCAAGTCGAGTTGTATATTGGGACTTGAATAACTATTGAATTATCGTTGGAATGATTTTATTAACCATAGGGCAAAAGAAAAGACGTATTATTCCTAGATACTTGTAGCTAATAATATTTTATTTATGCTTATTTATTTTCTTTTCAGTTCGAGCATACGACAATGCAACAACTTGTGGTCTGGTATGGACGCCGAATTTCGTGGCCTATAGATGTCGAACGTGTGGCATATCACCGTGTATGTCACTTTGTACAGAATGCTTCAAAAAAGGTAACCATGCCCGACACGATTTTAATATGTTTTTGAGCCAAGCTGGCGGTGCATGCGATTGTGGGGATGCTTCTGTAATGAAAGAAACTGGGTAAGTGTGATTCATATGTTTCTTTTAGAAGTGTATAATGCATTATTTACTTGCTGAGGTTCGTATTGAAAAAATGTTCGTTTTGGTCGTTGTCGTACATTATTATTTTTTTTTCTTAATTTCAATTTTCTTTTTACTCCGTGCCATTATCTGTAATAATAACAAACATTTATAAATAAATTATTAGTTATATTTTTATGTACATGATGTTTTTACCGGTAACGGTATGGTTTCTTATTTGTTTTAAATAAATGTCAATGTATAGTAAATGCATACTACAGGGTTCTCCATAAAAAAAATTATATTTTTGTTTTACAACCAAAAAAAAATATTTTTAAATCATTTTGTTAACGAACGGTCCGTTGCGAGTAAAACACCTGTAGAGTATAACTGGCTACTATGGGAACACGCGTGTTTTAAAGTAGTCAGTAAATTATGTCATATGACCAAATTAGATTTAACTGTTCCATTAGTAGCCACTATTAAACAGTTGCTGTGACCACAAATAGGTCAGAAGTGTTCTAATAGTATCCAGCAAATGGCCATTAATGGTGTGAATACAAAAATAAGTGTTCCATTTGTGGCCACCCAATTTAATAATGTATCGAGATAAAATAAGGAGTTTAAAAACAGATGAAATCGTAAAGAAAATCATACCCAAAACTTAAAATCATACGTTGATCACAAAATTTTAATATTTGGCTTAAATACAGCTTAAATAAACTTACCTGTTTTCTTACGTATATCGTTAACAGAAGGTCTAATACACAGTGTCACCTACTTCAAGAATAAGTAGAAACTAACCTGTAAATCAGAATAAGTCGCAAATTGTAGAGCCATCGTGTTAGAACGAATACAGTCGAAATTCTTCCGATTTCTGTAAAGGCGGTAAACTCGGACCTTATTATATTAGATTATTGGTTTAGGTGGCCACTAGCGGTGAAGTGGCCAAAAATGGTGCTGCTACCCTATGTGTATTATTTAATAATTATTTTTATATTTGTAGTTTTTGTGAACGACATGGGCCGAACAAAAGATCCACCAAAGGAAAAGCGCCCACAGATCTGATGTGTGTCGCAGAAGCCATGATGCCTAGAATAATATTGCGTCTTATACAACATCTACGAGAAAACAGTCGGATGGGTACAGCGGATGCGTACAAAGGAGCCATTCAGGATGCCGATGCCTTCATAACCATGTTGTCGGATTTTAACAACATGGGTGGGTTAATGAGAAAAGTTATCACGACAGCTCTTACTAATCCACAGGTAATATGCTTTCGTATTATGTACCTATTTTAATTGAATATAATAAAAGAAGTGATTTATTTTCCACAAACTTTTCCACTCGTAACATATATTTTGTGTATCAACGATTAGAATAGATTTCCTAAATTAAAGTTTTTGATATTTTGATGTCTTGAAAATGAATTTTTATAATGAGAAAATGAGAAAAGGCAGCAAATATTTGACTTCACGCAAACAAATCCTATGTATCTCTTGATACGTATTTCGACCTAATAGGTCTCGTCAGAAGAGCTATTCATAGGGCTTCTCAACGTGAAAAATCAATATTTTCTGCCTTTTAAGAAGCAACAATAACATGGCTTCAATACGGACGCAATTCTTCTTCTTTTTGTGTCACTCCTATCGGAGATTGGAAATCATCAAGGCTATTCTGACCTTGTTTACGGCTGACCTAAAGAGTTCATTAGTGGTGCAGCCAAACCACTCTCTCAAATTCCGCAACCATGACATTCTTCTACGGCCTGGATTCCGTTTTCCTTCTATTTTTCCCTGCATTATATTTTGAAGTAATGCGTATTTATGTCCTCTCATCAGGTGACCAAAATATTCTAGTTTTCTTCGCTTTAGCGTTAACAAAATCTCTGGGTCTTTTCCTATTCTTCGTATTACTTCACAGTTTGTTATTCTTTCAGGAATGAATAACGGAGAACTTTCAAGAATAAAAATAATTTCATGAAAGAATAACGGACGCAATAGCGACATCTACTTACAAAAATCGTAAAATAATTGATTGTGTTTCTAACTTTCTTTCTTTCTTTGAATAACTGAATTGTGTTTCGAAACTATTTTACGATTTTTGAATTTTTATAATTTCTAGATGCCCAATATTATATTTAATACCATCATAACCTTTTCACTTCTAGCGGATTATTTGCCGTCTGTTTTAGGTTTTTCTAATTTATTTGTCGTGGGAATTGATCCTTTTTTGGTACTAGTTTTCTAATATGGTCATTTATTTGATGATCCCTATTTTAATATTGTTCTGAAGCTATTTTCTTGTGGCATTTTAAATTAATTACTATTTAACTGGGAATAAGCCACAATTACTATGGAATTGCTAACAGGAGAATTTTACTGTCATCATGTCATGTGTTTGTCTTTTTAAAGACGAATTAGATGCTATAATTTTTTCTGACGGATATTCTCAAGTCAGGAGCGCAACTCAACAATATTGGCAATATCATTTTAAAGTCGTTTACTTTAAAATGCATAATGTATGTCTGAATTGTCAATATAAATAAGTCAGATAAAATTAAATTATTAGAAGAATTTTTCACTATGTAACAAAAAACAAAATTTGTTTAATTTACTGTTTGTATTTTGAGAACGATTTCCGAAGTGTAAATTGAAACGTCAATAAACGTATTTTTATCTTTAATTGTGGCTTATTCCCAGTTAAGTAGTAATTAATCCCTATTTTAGTTGAACTGTTTTCAAGTTTTCAAATACATACTTTCCAATATATTTTCCCTTTCTATTCAAATTTACTTGTTTTCTCTGGTATTTCAGTACATTATTCTAGATTTTCTATCTAACTCTCTTTGAAAGTGACATGTTTAAGTGCTTTTAGTGTTGATCGTATAACTACTACCAGCTATTTACTGGGGTTCTTCCACTCACATCCGGTCTACCAAAGTTTTGTTAGTTTTCTGGCAGGGTTCACTGATTTGATTTTTATTAACTACTCGACCAAGCGAGATTTGACATTTGAGTCATTTTGTGTAAAATTCCAACCTTTACTTTACTCCGTGGCGTTACAACCCTTCGTGGGTTTTAGCCGACTCCACTGTTTTCTGTCTTGAGCAACCTCCATCCAATTCTCCACGCCCGTAGTGCTTAGGTCTCCTACTATATTATCTCGCCACCGGAGACGAGGGCGTCCACGTGGCCTCCGGCCTCCTTCTAGTTGGAACTTCCTCCCACACCATTACTACTGTTCGTTCGTCAGAATGTCTTCTGAGGTTTCCTGCCCATTAGAGTCTTCTGGACTTTATTTCTTTTGTGGTGTTGGCGTTTGGGTAAAGTTCTTCGAGCTCTTTGTTAGTTTTTATACTATATTGATCTGATGCTTCTTCCAGCACAAGACCAAGATCTTCCTTAGGATTTTTCTTTCCCAGACACATAGTCTCACTTCGTTTGCCTTTGTTATCGTCCACGTTTCGCTTCCATGCATCACAACGGGTCGTATGATTTTTTTATAGACCTGTATCTTCGTACGTCGTGTTAGTTGTTTCGATTTTATAAGGTTTTGGAGGGCAAAAAGACATCTGTTGCCGGGCCTGAATCCTGTTGTTTATTTTTGTGATCTGTTATTGTCTTCAGTTATTGTTGTTCCAAGATACTTGAATTCTCTAACGCGCTCAAAGTTAAAGTCATCGATGGTGATGTTCTGACCGATTCTGTATCTGCTTTGGTTATTGCGTCTCATATACATATATTTCGTCTTGTTTTTGTTTATTTGGAGCCCCATCTTTTCTACTTCCTTCTCGAACCTCACGAAAATCTCCTTCATCCTTAATCGTGAATTACGGTACAATAACCCCAATTGTCAGCGGTATTGCAGTTCAATCTTCCAGCCGATCAGCAGTTTCGACACATATTGCAGACAGGTCGTCATCAATTAATTTCATATAAATACTGTTAATTTTTATTTCAAAGCCATTTGTAATTATATTAAATAAAAAGTTGTTAGTTGTACCTTTAAAAGGGCCTTTTTAAAAAGTACCTTCGGGAGTGACAACCCTCAATTCGTGTGTTTCCTATTAGATCGATATCGTCTGCAAATGTCAGTAGGAAGTTTGGTCCTTCTCGATGAAATACTGTATTCGGTTTTTCGATCCTTGCACTTCTGATTATGTGCTGCAGAGCTAAGTTGAAGAGTTGTGGTGAAAGTGTATCTCCCTTACTAATAATATTACTGGGGGTCTGCTCTGAGAATCGCTGTTTTTTATATGACTTGCACCCTATTTGTGACTTCTTCTGTTCTTCTTGAGTCTGTGTCAATAGGCCACAATTTTTTAATAGACATCTCAGGGCTAAAGTAACCGCAAACGCTCTTACCCCGACCATAATGATTTTCACGGCACTTTAATGATTTTATGAAATCAATCATTGATTGAACTGTACTTGATGAAATTGGTATCTTTTTGATAAAATTGATTCAATCTTTTTGATGAAAATTGTGTGATGGACAGGAATGTGGAATTACACACACTTAATAAAACACCATTTGCCTGTCGTATGAAGTATTTTGTATCTGTTCTAGATCGTGGATTTTTTTATGTTGCTTAGACTCTTGATCGAAAAGGTATTTGAATACGTAATTGTTCTGATCAGCAGTAACCTTATGTGAGCAGATTTTATCAAAAAAGATACTTACATTAGGAGACAATAGATATGCCTTACAAACATCACCTTTATGAGCACAAACAATGCGAGGATCTGGATGATCTTCTTTACTATTTCTTGCGAATTTCTTGAGATTTTTATCTTTTCTCTCGCTTCCTCTTCTGTGCACTATTAATGTCGTTTACAGATACTGAAAATCACTTGTTACAAAACCGAAACTTATTTTATACTTGTAACACACGTTTTCGATTACTCACTTGTTTCACCACAGTCAACATAACCAAAAACTCACAGCAAATAGATGCTGACAGCTGGAATCGCGCATGCGCAAACACTCAATAGCTGACTTAAGCGTGTATGGAAAAGAACAAGGTATTACTAAAACACTTTTGGAAAACATTACTGATTTATAATCTGTATAGTATACTTGACTTGAGCTGTTATGGCATGAATTGCTTTTCTAATGTTAGAAATGATGCTCTAGAATCAGATCCAAGTAAAACCTCAAAATGTGAAAAAAAAGACAAGCCCTTTTGGAATCCACCTCTTCAATTATGGCAGTAATGTTAGAAGTTCCTGCATTTCAGCCTGGTGACTCTGCAACACAACCACAGCTACTGAGAAAAGGATCACTCAGGAGTAATGTTAGCAATTGTGGTAATAATGTCAGAAGACCCTACCGTTTTGGAGCTAAAACTAACACAATCCTGGATTATTGCGCTACCTGAGGAAAGGAAAACCAAACATTTTTAAAAAGCAAAAAAAAACTGAAGATAAGGTTTTTAGTCCGTAAACGTTCTGTGATTTATTCCGAAAGAGTTCTCTTTTAAATAACTATACTTTTTATAAAGGATTTTTTAATAAAAAAGTTTGTGATATATATACAGCCGACTACAGGAAATTAACTTTTTCCTTGTAAATGAGACCATTTGTAGCGGCTAGGCGTTGATTTTATTTATAGAATTCTCTAGTACCTTAGTATTTGAATATAAGTCTTCATTGAATAAATTAGATTCAATAGACTATTTCATTTCATTTTTATAATATAAACTATATAATTTTTATTTGTTTATTTTCAGAAATATCGGGTATTAAATGAAATTCCTGAAAACCCATCCACCGAATATGAACAGTACCTGGTAGAGTCACGTCGACGATATGAAGAAGCTCTCGAATCGTTGCCCAATCCAGAACCCATAGAGAACTTAGTACATAAAACGTTTCTTGAGGAATTAGTTTTCTGGACAGTTAAATTTGAATTTCCACAAAAGATCGTGTGTTTGTTGTTAAATATGTTGCCGGATTCCGATTATAAGGTATGTGTAGCTTACATTAAAATATTTTTGCGTATAACTTTATTCTACAAGATCGGTATTTTACACAAAGAATTTCTTTTGATATGAAAATTCACTGTAAAACCCAAAAATTTGTAAAAAAATCTTGTAATAAAATTTCATACCTTTACTCATGAAGTAAAATTGATATACCTCTATTGAACACATAGTTATCTTGTGCAAAAATTTATTGAATATTTGATTGTTGTTTGTATACATAAATAAATTATAAATTTTATACATAGGAATGTTATTTGTGTTCTTCAATTGACTTCATTGTCTAAAAATTTTGTTATACTTTTAAACAATGTGCCATACGATGATATAAGTAGCTTTACAAGTGCATTTTTATGGTAAAAGTCATCGGAATTTATTTTTAATAATTTTTACATGCCGTAGGTACGTGCTCTTAACTCATTTATGCCTCTGTAAAGTTTAATCTTTTTATCTGTATTAAGGGTGTTGTTTATTTAATTTTTTTTTGTCTCTTTTCAAAGGCTATAGCGGGATAAGATGGTTAAAATTGCACCATGCTCGATTTAGTTTTGGGCCTGGCCATTCGAAAGGACATAAATAAAAACTCACTCAGTTAAATTTTCAAGTCCTTAGGTGCCTCTGGGGGTTCGCTATGGGAAAAAACGTATTTAAAGAAAAAAAAATTTTTTAGACGCTGTATTGCTGCAAAAAATCTGAAAAAAATTCATGAAAACGTAGTTTAATAATACAATACTACCTGATTTGGACACTTTTTTCTGATTTTTAGCTTGAAAATTGAGCCAAGGAAAAATATTTGAAATTTTCAGTATTATTTTAGATTATGTCGGATATTTTTGGCCAACTTTAAAATAATGTTTTTATGGGTTTTTTCCCGTTCTTTCGAATGGCATAGACATTATTATCATTTTCAACGTGGAAAATGCCTAAAAATTGAAAAAATTGCTTTTTTTCGGCATTTTTCTGAAGCACCCCCACCCCTTAACAATAAATTGTATGGGCCTAGGAACAAAACAAAAAAAAATAAGTATTACATACTTACTCTTACTTACTCCGTGGCGTTACAACCCTTCGTGGGTTTTAGCCGACTCGACAACATGCCTCCACTGTTTTCTGTCTTGAGCAACCTCCATCCAATTCTCCACGCCCATAGTGCTTAGGTCTCCTGCTATATTATCTCGCCACCGAAGACGAGGGCGTCCGCGTGGTCTCCTTCCAGTTGGGACTTCCTCCCACACCAGTCTTACTGTTCGTTCGTCAGAATGTCTTCTGAGGTGTCCTGCCCATTGGAGTCTTCTGGACTGTATTTCTTTTATTATGTTGGCGTCTGGGTAAAGTTCTTCAAGCTCTTTATTAGTTCTTATCCTATATTGTCCTGATGCTTCATCAAGCACCGGACCAAAGATCTTCCTTAGGATTTTTCTTTCCCAAACACGTAGTCTCTCTTCATTTGCCTTTGTTATCGTCCACGTTTCGCTTCCATACATCACAGTATTACATAGAAAACAAAAAATTTATTTATACTGCCATAAGATACAATAATATCAGTTTTTATAAAATAAAAAATAACATAAATTAGGTTTTTTAGTGAGATGGATGACGCATAACCTTAACAACATACATCTAAATTAATGATAATTTATATTTTTATATGTATTCTTACCTTTACAATCGAAAAAAGCTATTAAAACTATTATTTTTTTTACAGCATGCTAAAAAAACGGAAAACCCCGTTTTTCGGCGTTGTTTTTAAGCTTTCGCTATATAACCTCTAAAGTCAGTGTCTAAATGAATGATAATTTGCATTTTCACATGTATCTTTTCCTTTACAATCAAAATCAGTTATTCAAAGCATTAGTTTTATCTCACAACTTTCTGAAAAACCAAAAAACCCCGTTTTCTCCATGTTTTTACTACATAACCTCAAAAGACTCTGAAAAATGAATCGTGAATTAGAACGCACTTGTACACTCAAAAGTTGTGGAATTAAAAGCTAGCGAATATATCTACATATATAAGTGATATTATATCATAATGTACATACATTTATACACAAACGCATATCTATATAGTTCCATGACTTTTAAGATCCTTGTTTATAAATTCATAAGCTCGTACCATGCTCGTCCATGTCTTACTCTTCCGCTTAGATACAAGAGCCTTATACCCATGCTTATAGTATTTTTATTTTATTTTATATTTTATATCTACTTAACTGTTTTGGCCTTCATGTCTTAGCCCGCCATCCCGCATATCCAGGGAGCCTGATTGTAACAGAAAACATGGCGTTGATAGTTGCGCCGCGCGGTAGTTGATATTAGGCGGTGCAAAATGAAATATTTGAAAATTTCAAATATTTTTCCTTGGCTCAATTTTCAAGATAAAAATCTGAAAAAAATCAGTTAGTATTGTATTATTAAATTACGCTTTCATGAATTTTTTCAGATTTGTTGCAGCAATACAGCGTCTAACAATTTTTTTTTTTTTTTAAATACGTTTTTTCCCATAGCAAACCCCCAGAGGCACCTAAGGACTTGAAAATTTACCTGAGTGAGTTTTTAATTATGTCCTTTCGAATGGCCAGGCCCAAAACTAAATCGAGCATGGTGCAATTTTGACCATCTTATCCCGCTATAGCCTTTCTCTTTGTTTATTGTATCGGTCGTTACTTTTCTTACTAAAGTTTTCTTTACTTACCCCAAAACTATTTTAAAGTTAATAATAAGTCTATTTAATAAATATGTTGCCAAGAAATAGAACACATTACGCCTATGCACATATAGAACGTGGTAGGAATAAATTAAAATATCATATTCCCATTCCCATTCTTTCTAAAAACGTAAATATATACAGACCAGAGAAATTGATAGTTGATAACGGATGCTTCAAACTGTTCAATAAACTTGTCTCACTATACACTCGTGAATCACACCAATTTTTATTGTTACGGGGGCAAATTTTATGGGACTATCTTAATTTTTCACTTAATTACATGGGTGAAGCATACACGATAAAAATGACCCCGGTAAGGATTTACTTCTGAGATTTAGCATGGTTCCGTTAGTACTTCGTTCAATTTGTAGATTAGCACCTTTAATTGAAAATTGTCGGACTATATAGCTTAATAAGCTTGTCTTAGTAGTACTGATGTATTCGAATATTGCACATTTTAAGATTTTTTATTGATTTCTTTTTTGTTTTGTTTTACAGGAAGCCTTAACAAGAGCAGTGGTTCTTCACTACAGTCGTATATCCATAATGTTAGAAAGATCGGCCGATCCTGACACGCTAAGCAATAGAGTAGTTCACGTTAGCGTTCAGCTATTTTCGAATGAAAATTTAGCTTTAAAGATGACCGAACAGCTCAATCTTCTGCACGTCATGGTAGAAAGTCTCAAATATATGATGAGCAAAATTTTGATTAAGAGCAACTTGCATAGTAAGTAGAAATGAGTTTTATCTATATTTAGAATTTACAAAAACATTGACCAATTGCCCAGTAGTGTTTTATTATTATAATAAATATATGTATTTAGTGATTATTTCCCTTGTTGAGAAACTTTTCGTTATTAATTTTTTTCAACCGAAGATTTTTTTATCCGGAGAACAAGAAATAACAGCCTAATTTTAAAACAAATCGTCGATGAAAACGATAATGGAACGTGCGTGTTTGAGCAAGACACTGGTGTATTTGCGATGTCGTATGATACAGGTCTTCCAATAAGGACTTCCGAACCTTGACAGTTAATAGTGGCCATATTGTCGAAGCTACAACTGTCTAATTGCTGTCATTTATTCAGTATGTTTTGTTAAATCACTGGGGTGTACTACACATACTACACATTTACCCTGGGTAATGCTATATGAACTAGCACAATATGCAGCCGGACAATCTAGAATCTCTAGATCTCCTGGCAAGAACACATCACGAATATAAGATATGCTTCCAACCAATAATTTAAATGGACCAAGCGACAAAAGAACTCGGAGCAAGCATCCGAATCTGCCATTTAAATGAATAAGGTATTAGTAGAAGTAAATGTAAGTACCTTCAAAAGGTACTCATTGAAAATAATTTCGACGTGGTCGCAATTCAGGAAACCCTTGTAGAAAACGAAGAACAAATTCTCGCTAGAGAAAGAATTCATGGCTATGATTAATTGGGTGCAACTTATCATCCAGCTTATGGAGTGGCAATTAGTTCGAAACAAAGTCGAAAATGCACACATATGTTCTACTTCTTCTTCTTCTTTTGGCATCATAACCCTGGATGGGTCTCTGCCTGTCTGGCTATGTCCTTCCATTCAGATCTTTCTTGTGCCCTTCTTCTCCATTGTCTTATGTTCATTGTTTTCAGGTCGTCTTCCACGTCATCCAACCATCTCGTTCTGGGCCTTCCTTTTTTTCGCCTTCCTATGGGCTTCCATTGTAACATTTTCTTTGTTGTTTTTGCATCGTTTTGTCTCTGCACATGTCCCAGCCATGACAGTATTTGACTTTTCACAAATCTTACAATGTCATAACCTTCATTTATTTAACTCATTAACCTCGTCGTTTCTCCTGAGTCTCCATGTGCCATCTTCCTCTTGTACCGGGCCATATACTTTCCTCAGTATTTTTCTCTCGAATGTCCTGAGTTGGGCTTCATCTTTTTTCGTCATTACCCAAGTTTCACATCCATAGGTTACTACGGGTCTAATCAGTGTTCTGTAGATGGTCATTTTGGTTCTTTTGTCTAATAATTTCGATGTCATCAATCTTTTATTAGCATAGTATGTACGATTCCCGCTGGAAATACGTGCATTAATTTCGCTGCTTATGGAGTTCTTCTGATTGATTTCTGTGCCGAGATATGTAAAGGCATCCACTCGTTCGATAGTATAGTTGTCTATTGTGATATTATTTTCATTGTCAGTTATTCTTTTGACTGTCATATACTTCGTTTTTGCTTCGTTTATTTTGAGACCTTTTTCTTGCTTCAGGATCAATTTGTTTGAACACTTCCAGTAGTCGTGGCTTATTCCTACTAATGATGGCTACATCGTCTGCATATGCAGTAATTTGTACTGATTTGGTATTTATATGGCCGGTTATATTAGTTTTTCTGATGACTGCCTCAAGAACTAGGTTGAATAGCATGGTTGATAGGGCATCTCCCTGTTTCACTCCCATGTTGATGTTAAACAGGGGAGTCAGTTCTCCATCTACTCTGACTGCGGCTTTTGAACCCTGCAACGTCATTTTTATGAGGCTGATGTATTTCTTAGGTATACCTAGATTACAAAGGTCTTCCAGCATTATGTCTCTTTTCACACTATCAAAAGCTTGTTTAAAGTCTATATACATATTATGTAGGTCTATGTCGTATTTATAAGCTTTTTCTTGTATCGTTCTTAGTATGAATATGTTATCTTTAGTGGCTCTATTTGGTCTGAATCCATTTTGATAATCACCAATTATATTTTCGGAGTATTCTAATAATCTATTGTAGATTATACCAGAAAGAATTTTGTATATTACATTTAGCAATGTAATTGGCCTATAATTCTGGCATTCATACATATAATAGCAATATAAAAAGTAATGATTCCAAATGCTTTGCTATTTAAATTTAAAATATTTCAAAAAGTGAAGTTAATCGAAAAGATGCATTAATTGATAAAATTTTCCTTTTTTTTTTTCTAGATCAGAAAGAAAGCTGCCATTACGTCGTCGATTGTGCAAAACCAGTAATGAAAGATCATTGCTATTGGCCTCTGGTCTCCGATTTAAAAAATGTACTTTCCCATCGACCTGTAGCACTTAAGTTTATGTCTGATGATGATCTGTTGGAGAGGTGGTTCGTTTTTCTCTCTATGTTTCAAGGTATAGTAAATACGTTATTGATTATTTTAAATTGTATAAGAGCGAATTATTACTGCAGTAAAACTTAGTAGATCTATTAAAATAAAATATACCAAAAAAATTATCTACAACAATTAGGTTACTTTAAGTTTTGCATTTTAAAATAAGTTGTCAGTGCGACAGGTTTAAGTAGTCTTTTAATGCTGTGCTATTTTTTTTTAATGAAAATCTTTTTAGGTGGAAGGTATAATTTGTTATACAGAGTATTTAAAATATTATAATCACTAAAAATCGCAATAAATTCAACTATCTATACAATTAAAAAGAGTACTAATGATATGTATTTTATATTATTATAGAAATGTATTCTTACATTATGTGTCTAGTTCAAACAAATCTTGTCCATCCAAAAGAGCATTCTGGCTAGTGGTGTCATTTGCATGCAAAAAGTATAGTTCTGTGCAGATTTTCACCAATAGAGGACAGATAAGTAGAAATGCTACATCTTGCAGAACGCCACATTCACTTTAGAATCTTAGTCAGCAGATAATGGTCCCCACTTCTATAAGTTGGCTTTACACTTGAGCATTCCAACTCTCGCGATTAAGACACACAGGATTGGTACCAGGTACAAGTTCGTCTCGAGGTTCTAGATCCGAGGAATGGCTTTTTTTCCATATGCTTATATGACTATATTTAGCTAGATGTATTTATCTTATAATCTGATGCTGACCATACTTATGCTGCAACTGTAGCGCAAAAGGATAAGCCTACTTCAAAGGAAGCCACCCTATTTGTATATCTTTTTCGATGCATCTTTTAGGATATTATGGATTATCTCTCGAATTATTCAGTTTACTTTGAACCAATTCATTATGAGGATCCGTGTTGCAGAAGAAAAAAAGGCTCCCTATGCCTCTTTTTCCTTCAACCTTTCCATCCTCAATCAATTTTAAAAATTTTTACTTGGAATTCCTAGATATGTGATCCAAGTAGGCTGCTTTTATTTTCTTCAGCAGCCCACGTTTTGTCCCACGTGAACGTAGTCCAATAAAACCAAATACCAAATGATATGATGTTTCTTTGGAAATTACTTAAATTTGTTAACTCTATATTATATTTTTATTTTAACCATTTTTATTTTTCCTATACTTCTAGTTATGAACGTAAATCAACGAGAGTTACACCAACACATAGAATTTGAACCAAATACTTACTATGCAGCGTTTAGTGCAGAATTAGAAGCCAGCGCGTATCCAATGTGGGCCCTCATTTCACATTTGACAGATGCTTCTACAGCTCATTTAACAAAAAGAGTTTTGAACGCCTGTCTCAATGAACTCAAAGATTGGTTTCACGCAATTGCATACTTAAGCACTACAGTGGTAAGTACCTTATCCCTATATATTTGTTTTAAGTATTTTATATATACAGTAGACTCACTCTTAACCGGCCATCTCGGGACCAGAACCTGGCCGGTTATATATAGATATATATATATATATATATATATATATATATATAATATATATATATATATATATATGTATATATACATATATATATATATATATATATATATATAGGAGGAAGAAAGATAATTTTTATATTATCTGTCTCACATGTTAGGTTTCCAGGATGAGTTGCAGCATTATCCAGAAGTAGGACTGCTTTATAGTTTATTTTTATGAACGAGAGAGTAATTAGCATAATTTTAACTGGTACCTCAGACCACTCCATGGGCGTGCTCAAGATTATTTGAATAATTGTAAAAAATAAATGAATTATTTCAGTGTTATAAAGTGTTATGTGTATGTAAACAAAAGTGACCTCTTTTATCACACACTATATTAGAACTGACTGGCCTACATTAAAAAAGGTTTTTAAAAAATTCACATTTTTTTTAATTTTTAAAAATTACAAAAGAGAAAAAGAGTTTTTAAAACCGTCTAAGGTATGTTAAATAGATGAATAAAAATATTAATGTAAAACTTACAGCTACTTGTTACAAATCAAATCAGATTCAGAAGATGAACTTTCAGAACCAAGATTTATAATAACTGGCTCGATCATTTTATCAGTAATATTGTCCAGCTTCCACATTTTTTCCTCTTCTTTAATAGTGTGATTTACTGCCTTTTCCCAGTTTTCAGGTTTTACATTATTTACGGCCTCCAAAAACAACTGTTTAACATCATGAATTTTAAAAGTGGTATTTTTCTTGAAACTTCACTCTTTATCTGTGTCCATACCAGTTCAATCGGGTTTAATTCACAATGATATGGTGGGGATCTAAGTACTGTCATTTCACGATTTTTGGCAATTTCATCAATTTCGTATGTTTAAAATTTTTCTTTGTGAAGGGCACACAACGAATTAAGTTCCTTTCTTATAGATCCGGGATGGTACGTAATATTTTTTGAACTCAGCCAATTCTGCAAGTCTTTTTTTGACCACTTGGTTGTGGGCAGTCCTTCTATAAGTCTGGAGTGATAACTTGCATTATCCATTACTATTACACAGTTCTTAGGAAGAAGATCTATCATTTGTTCGAACCATTCTTGAAAGACATCAGCGTTCATGTCTTCATGGTAGTCACCGGTACGAGTTGATTCAAAAGTTAATAAACCACCTTCAACAAAACCGTCTGAACTGCCAATGTGTACTATTATCAGCCTGCGTCCCTTCCTGATGGTGGGTTTTAAACCAGTAGATAAGTTATTTACAAAAGCGTGCCTTTGACTTGTAACAGTTTCATCCTGCCAAAATTTATTTGGTGTATGACCCTCGTTGATCCATGTTTCATCAAGATAAAATATTTTTCTTTTTTGGTTTCTCATTTCCTTTATGGTTCTTAGAAAATGTCTTCTCCATATGACAATATCGCTTCTTTCTAATAAAATAGACTTTCTGGGATTCTTTTTCCAGCGGAAGCCTATTTCTTTTAAAAGTTTCCATAACGTACTTCGACTCATTTCTGGGTAATCCTTATCATCTCGAACTGAGACAAGAACTTTATCCAATGTTGGAAAATTCTTGTCTAAAGAAGAATTCATGCACTTTCCGTCGAAGTCCTTCTTTAAAATGATATTCTATTTGAAATTTTTTTTCCCTGGAGCATTACGTGGCATTTGAAAACTACCACATTTCTCTTCTTTAATAACTCTGTAAATCGTAGATTTCCCAACACCAAGTGTACTGCTAACTAACTCAACATTCTCATCAACACTTTCACATAAACATTTGTCTGTAAATGATTTAAAACAATTAAATATTAATGTTTTTTCATTAACTGTTAAAGGACCAATTTTTCGGCGTTTACACGGCACTTCCAAATTTTCCATAACACTAGTATACACAATAAACTGCACCTTGCAACTGAAGTACCTACTTTTAGTGAACTGTTAAGAATTTTGAATACGCCACTTGGACCTTCCTACAAAATGGAAAAACCCACTATGACATTTTCTGTGGAATAAGTTTTAGAAGGTAATTATCTAGTCAATTACTGTCGTAGATTCCTGGAATTAAAGAATTAAATGTTTGATTGTTGAAACCCTTACTTCGTGGAATGCACTCATTTCAGATAAAATAAAACGTTTTATTTTATCTAAAGAATTAAACTTTATTTTGCAAATAGGTAGGTACTTATTAAACTTTTATTGGTTATATATAGCAATAAAATAAACATCTTACATTTGTTGCAAATTCATTAGTACCTGTTAACCTCCATCACTCCGACACTGGCAACCTTATTTAGGGATTAGTAACCCTCACAACTATTGTATTCTATTCTGCTCCAACCTTTATACCTGGTGGTCATACTCAATTTAAAATTGTTTTCCTATATACTTCTGTAAACTTGTTGACAAATATCTGTTTTTCATTGAGTCACCCGTATCAACAGTTTAGAGATTTGCATACATAATTTATTGTTTTATTACTCTCTCATACATAAAAATACACTATAGTGGGAAGATGGCGCGTTACTCTCGAAACAAATTCACGCTCAAACCATTCTTTGAATAGATCAGCGCTCATCCATGCTGATTTTTTTGTTATCTGTAGAATAGGGGGGGGGGGACAATGAATTTAAATTTTAGCGGACTTACCAACAACGAAAAGAGGAATTTTGTGTGTTCCTGCTGCATTTGAACAAACAGCAACTGTAATGCGCTCTTTATTCTTTTTAAATCCAGAAGCCGATTTTTCATGACTTTCCAAAAATGTTTTTTCTGGAAGCATTTTAAAATTGGAACCTGTCTCATCCATGTTATATACTTCTTGGAGCTAAAATCAGTTGCAGTTGAAGCATCCGCGAACATCTTTTCTTTACTTACGTGGGCATAATTAACTTCGGGACGTGCCTTCCAGCCAACCTTCACTTGCAACAAATTCGCTTCCATCTATAATTGTGCTGTGTATACATAAAGCCTTTTCCCTTAGAATCGGACCGCTAACAGGTGTGCCCCTTTGCCGTTCTTGAAGGAACCAAAGCCAAAGAGATTTTTAGATTTTTATCTGATTCCATTTGGGGGCAGAAATCCTTGATTGAACTTCTATCACTTCGCCAGTCATTCACTGTACTTTTCCCACATTCAACTCTGAACAAAGTTTCTTTACCGATTCACCTTTGTCGATCCGTTTAAGCACACTTAGACATTTTTCCATCGCCACAACCATACGTTTACCCTTCAGACAAAAAGACAAATTCATTTCTTCTCGAAAGCAAAAACAAAACTGACAACCGTGGGCGAGAGACCGCAAAACAAGAGGAAGGGGAGTGGCCGGTTAATAGGATGGCCATTTAATGTGGGACTGTTTTAAGAGGGAGTCTACTGTACGGCGTTTTTTTTTTTAATTTTACTTTTCAATATTATTTTATATTTATATTATTATAGAATGATAGTCTACAAGTCTCATTTCATCTTCCTCTTCATCGATATTTGGCTGTATTCCTGAGCCAAGCCGTTGCGATACAAGGGGTAACAGTTAACGAAGTCTTAGGATCGAGCGATTTCTTCTTGGATCTCTTAATGATGCATCCTCTACGTATACAGGTAAATACAAATATAATAAGTATGATAATTGAACAATTGTAACAATGTTCTGAAGTTTCTAAAAACATGCAACTCTATTTTGTTATTTTTCATCATCTGAGCATCTCTCGAGTCTTCGCTATCTTGGGCTAGTGTAATAAACAATGTTCTGGGATTGTGGATCTTTTCAATTCGTTAGTAAATAATGAAACATAGTAGTATCATGTATTTTAATATGTTCTATTTTATTTTAGGTAGCGTTTTATGAAATTTTAAATGGTTTATGGTTGAGGAACGGGCTTCAAATTAAAGGTCAAGCAATGACGTATATCCAGTGTAATTTTTGTAACTCCATGGTTGATGCCGATCTCTACTTACTTCAGATATGTTGTACTAGGTTGCCCTCGGAAAAGTTTTTGAACATTGTTATAGAAAAGTAAGTACCTGCAGCTTTTATAAACTTTCAATAAAATTCGTACGATATTTACACCTCATTCAGAATATTGTTCACATTCAATAGTAAAGAGGTTATGGACCAAATGTATTTATATTCACGCCAAATGGGAATAACACATGAAAATGCATCGAATAACATAAGACAACTAGGCATTTAGCAAATTTTGAACTCATTTCAATTAAAAGAGTTTAACATTAAAGATATTGAGTGGTTGGCGCAAAAAATTTATCCTTCTGATTTTTTAATGATTATTCTCTGACTGCTTCCCTGACGAGCAACCATATTCTGGCATAAGTTGTACAAATTTATTTTTTTATTACTAAGCTCTTCTATAATTTTAGATTTCATATTAAAGAATGGATGAGTCTAGCTCCCTTTCAGGGAACTCAGAGCGCGTATATAGAAGGAGAGCATGACACACCAATGTTGGAAAGCTTCCTTACATTTTAGCGACACTTATAAGTGTCCGAACAAATTTAGGTAATTACATTTTCCTGACTTCTTGCATTACCTTTACCTTAATATTTGTTTTAGGTTTATCAGATACATCACTTAACAGACTGGAAATGGTAACATTACTATGTATGGGGGACAAAACTCACTCCCAATTGATGGAATTAATGCCAGAAAGGTGCGGTATGTCGGAATCAAGAGATTTTGAATCATTGCTAGCTGAAGTGGCGTTTTACCGAGCTCCTGCTCTAGAAGCAAGCGGTAATATGCAACAGGGAATGTATGTCCCCAAGCCGGAAATCTGGGAGAAACAGTACGATCCGATCCACGTACTTCTTAGGGCTGTACATAGAAGAGATTTCCAAACCTCCATGGATCGATACACAGAGTTGTAAGTGTTAATCTTATTTTTATTGTGTGAATATATATTTGGTACATTTTTCACTATTTTCTTCTTATTTTCTTAGCTTTCACTTTTTCATATTGAAAGTAAAATCGAAACGTCAAATAAATAATTTATTCTGTGATTTATTTCCAAAAATACAGTAATTTCACTACATGTTCGCAAAAGTGATACAGATTCTCACAATTCAAGTTAATTGTATATTGTTGCTACTAAGGGGAGCCACCTGTTTCGGGGAATATAATATATCGGTACAGGAACACATTTATGTTAGGGATGTTTAAAGGAAACTCAAATCTTCCAAGTGATACAACCTTCATTGATGAAAAAAATCATTAAATACAATAATTTCAGTATATGAAAGTCGTGTTTTATATTTTAACTGTTAACAGGTAGCTAAAGATCAGTAAGACACTTTCCTAAACTAAAGAGACTGAAGCTATTTTGGATCTGCAATGAAATCATATACAGATAATATATAAGAACTCATTATTCAAGGAAAGGCAGAAGTCCAAAGACCATGAGGAAGATCCCCAACAAGATAGATTGACCAGATAATAGAAATCTGCAAAAGACCAAAGATCCCCAACACGATCGATTGACCAGATCATAGGAATCTGAAAAAGGCTAATGAGAGACATAAATCTATGGATAAGAACGATAAACATCATGTCTCTCCAGAGGTCAAGACTGAAGAGAGATTTTAAGTGTTGTTCCATTCTTCTTTCGTAGCTTCCTTCCTGAATATCTTGTTTATTCGTTCATATATGTTTCTGCTTATTATCTTATCTGCTTACTTGTTGTTCTTGTACTGTTGTTTTGTTTTTAATGTATCTACAGTGTAGATACTAAGTAGATTGTAGCTTCGGTTGAGTTTACCGAAAGTACAAGCTGAATATACCCGCAAATGTCAAAAATGTTTGGATCAATATAAGTATGAATGTTCGAATAATTGAACTTTGATGGTATACAAGGCAAATATCGAACACAGTGAATTAATTAAATCTTGCCCAAGTACTTTCGATCAATAGATCATCCTCAGGGGCATTTCGTCAGTTGTGGCCTATCGGACATGAGCAGAATGTCATACCTGTAAATTTGGACATAACAATACAATACACAAAGACAAACAAACACTTTAAAATTTTTAAAAATGGAGAAGCTACATGTTATATAGAAGCTGGAGACAGAATGTTGTCAAATATCAAATTATCAAATAATTTGCAGCTTGTTTATTAAGGCGGAATTGCTACCTAAATTGAGCATCACTTAGCGAAAAGAGGATTTTGAGTATCCCGTAACATTCTTCTTATTTTGTTGAAGTTGAAATTAATTTCGATAAATCGAAAATTAGTGACGTCCTTTGATTAGTTTAGTTGAAATCCACTAGGCTCGCAAAGTCGCATTTTTATATATTTATATTGTTTATTACTACTTCCTCGTTGACTAGTTTCTTTTTCTTTCGTATTATTTCCAGATCTTCTTCTGACGTGCGTGTAGATCTTGTTCCATTCCCCTCACAGTTCTTAAATTCTCTCATTTGTTCTATCTCTCACTGTTTTGTAAACCTTATATTCTTCATGCGCTCTGTTTTTAATGTGTTCTGTTATAATAATCTGTGTTCATCTAATCTAGCAGAGATTCGTTAATTGGTTTGTCCTATATATTTCTGGTTGCAAGTTAAGCAGGGAATGGTGTAAATTACTGGTTTTTCCATTCAAATGATGTCCTTTGTGTTTTTAGCGTTCTAAATTGTACATAACAAGTTTATTTCACATATTAGTGAAAATTTATAATGAACACATATTTGTTTTAGTGCTAGACATGCTAATAAGCTAAAACCAGGTTGCAGTCTCTGGCCACCGTTTAGGACTCCAACCGAAGTAGCAGAAGCGTATGATGACCCCCCGCCAGATTTTAAAATCAAGAGTATTCCATGCTGCAGCTTTAATTATTTTATTCAAAGCCGTTAGAGGTCATGTTTCGGAGCATGTGATGGCTTTAGTTGTGTTTCTATTAGAACAAGCAGTTTTGATAGCAGCACAAGAAGACAATAAAGAGGTAACATATTTAGAACTTTTGAAATTCTGATTTTTCATAATATATGTCTTCCGTTATTATTTTAAAGCGATTCTTGAATAACAGTACTGCAATATTTTTTATTTTACAGTCTTGTACTATAATTATGGAAACACAATAAAAGATCACATTAAAAATAGTTATCTCATATTTTTAGGACTCAAAAATGTGCTCAACAGCACCTCCTCAATCTCAAGTCAGTGATATGGATTTAGCTAGTTGGTTCACGGCCGATTCCGTATTTGATAATCTCAAAACTGTGATAGGACAAGTAATTATACATCCAGAACCAGATTTTTCGCTTATAACGTATAGCTCAGATAGTAAGTAATTTTTAATTTTACCATAGTTTTATAATCACCAATGAGATTAATTTAGTGTGTAACTTAAGGACTCAACGCATTCATAAACGAAAACTAAGAGTCCCAGGGAGAAATTTATACACAGCTTAAGGGAAAGTGTCCAGAGGTGAAACCTGAGTTTTCGTCAAAAGTTTATTCACGTTTTAATTTTGAATACGTTGATGAGTAGGAATTTCAGTTACTGTGAGTGAATCCATCCATTTGCACCTGGGTAGGTTCAACGCTTGACACACTCTAAATCCAGAAACATATGAGTGAACTCTGACTTTGGTCGTTTAAGCCTCAGATTTCAGTCCGTATATGTATGCTTTAATCTGATGTTGACAAATCTGTAACACCTTTTAACAATGTGTATTTGGTCTAAAACCACACCTGACAATTAACAACAAAGGGCAAAGTATTTTATTTATAAAATACCGTGCGATAACTTGTATTTAGTGGAAACAACAACTTAAAGTCACTGCTTCATCTCTATTTCAACCAGTAAACCGAAACATTCAGTCAGTAAACTAAATAAATAAATAAAAACATTGTTATTAAACGAATTGCGATTTCAGATCACAATTTTTTCTTTATGTAAAATGTGAAAGAAGTTGTTAATGACATATTCATATTAAAACCAGTGGAACATAACTTATACAAAAATTATTACGACTCACCTGGCAGAATTATCCGTGAAAGCAGTACTTGTGATTCGTTCTGTGGTTAGAATCAGACAGGAAAAGTTCGCATATCCCAGTCAAAATCAAGTCAAAGGCGGACTCATATGATTATAAATCCGACCAATAGAAAAAAGGTTCTATAAGATCGACCGACCAAAACAATCTTAATGTCCAGAACATTTTTTTTTAATGCGATAAGATATACAAGGAGCGCATAAAAATTACTATGTTTTGAATTATAAGTTCTTTGGATCATTACAATTTAGGTAAAGGCAAATAAACCACTACTAGTGTTAAAATAAAACAACAGGTACAGTTGAAAAGAAACTTAGCCACAGAGTCTAGGAAACAATACACAGAGCCCCTAGAGCGCTATGCTCTAGGGGAGCCCGAAAAGGACTGACCTGGCCGGTCTGAAAATTACCGATATTTATAAGTGTTTTACTATTTATATGGTATTTTCAGGTTAACCAGCCAATAAGCAAATTCGAGGCGGGGCGATGCGCATCGGAGTGCGTACTAGTTCTCAGACTATGGCACTCGATGACATCGCAAGTGAGTCAAGTCCTTTGATGACTTGTCCCTTGGTTTTGCAATGCTATATATTTCTCTTTCCTTCGGGTCTTTCCAACTCTTCATGCAGCTTTATAGACGATCTTTCCTTAGCAGCAGCTACAGCGTGCTTTGCTTCCCTCTTTGCCACCTTGTATATATATCGTTATCTTCTCTCTTTTAGACCTCTCATACCTCTTTCTAGCCTCTTCTTTCTCCCTAACCTTCTGTTGCACTTCATCGTTCCAACACCAAGTTTCTTTGTCCCTAGGAGGCCCTTTACCAGATGTTTTCGTAGCACTTTCTCTCTCTTTTCCACTAGTATATTTTGGAATTAAAAACAAATCTTGCAAAGTCGCCTACAAGCTCTAGGTATATAAACAATGAGAAGTATGATAGAGTATATATTTAGATTTATTCTATGTGTATCCTTTGAACTTCTATCATTGTAGTGAGGCACTAATATCACTGAGGTGTTTATAGCAATCGTGAAAAACATGCGAAATGATTAGTCAGTTCAGTTGTATTTTGAAAATAATCAAATATACAAACGCTTTTATTAAATATTATATTCTTATACTAAATATTGAATATATTGCGTTTTAGGTGATCTGGATTGGGATAGTACAGAAATAGATGCTGCAGATATTGGGGACACAATGTTAATGCTTGACCAAGCTTCTTCAAATAATAATTGGGATGGCGAGGGACAAGAGCAATCTGAAAGTCGTGAGGTAAGACAACAATTTTAATTATTTTATATTAAAATGTCAGAAAATGGGACAACACATACAAATTCACTTGCGCACTATTTTCAATTATTGTTAAATAAATGTCTTGGGATGACAGTTTTAATTCCTCAATGCTGTGCTGATTTTGCAGGAGAGCAATAAAAGTCATTATCAATGGTAACAAAGATTTTATGCCATGAATGGTTGCTTAACTCCAATATACATGGACGTATAAACATAGATGGACACAGCAATAAGATACCTTTAACGCACAATGTTTTGAAGCTTCCATAGAATGTGATGCTTCCGCAATGAGCATAAACGTGCTTGAATTTTTACTCGCGGGTAATTATTCAGATTTTAAAAATTGGAAGTAGTAATAATGTATAAAAACACGTTTTAAAAAGGTACTAAACAGATCTTTTTTAATCAGATGATGTCTACTTACAATTTAAAAATGTCTACTAATTTCATGAACATATCTTATTCAATACATTAATGAACATGAATAAACCCAATGGTACGCCTATTAAAATGTAAACAAACACGCTTCCTCATTTCCTCATCTTAAATAATGTAAATTGTATGTACTTACAAATGAAATGAGAGATCGGGATGTAAATATTTCGTTTATTTTATTTCACTTTTCACAAAAATCACTCAAAATACAGTAAAAATATCGAAAAACAACTTTTACTAAAAAGTAAACAAACATGGAACAGCATTTGAAGTTTGACGTAGATCCATAAGACAGAGAAATGTAAACAACCGTTGCCATTTATAAATAGTTTTCAGTGCTTCTACATATAAAATAATTGATTGATATCTATTATACGCTATTATTAAATGATAATTCACACTATGTGCACACTTTATATTTTGATTACAATTAAATATATTAATCTAACCAATAAATTATTATTTTGGTTTGATAGCACCTGTAGAGTATAAAATACGGAGTAATATTTTCAGCGACTCGCGAATAAGAAATTTTAAAACAAAACGTGACAACAGTTGAAGGTGCTCAGAATGTGACCTATTCAAATAATTTTGACTTCACAATTTTATGTAAATAACTGAGTCCATCTGTGTTTATACGTCCATGCCAATATACAATACTTATACAGTTTTTTATAATCCTCATGGAGCCTTCTAGACTTACAAGTTTTAACAAACGCCAATAGAATGCCGTATGGTCGCCAAAAACTTCCTCTTCAATCATGTTACCCAGAAGCCTTAACAAGAATCATTCAAAATGTAATTTTCCATATAGATAAAGATAAAGATAGATAAAGTATCTATCATCCACGAAGATTAACCCTACACTTCACAATGTTTTATGCGGTTTCCAAAAAATCTGGACAATTCGTGTCTACAAGAAAAAATTTAAAAAATTGTTTTTTTTTTTGAAAAAATAGTTTATTATATACAAAAATTATGTTGTGACAGATATGTTACATTACGCATCAAAGGGGCAAACTCAGTTCTCATGAAAGTTGATAAAGCAGTTATTATTTTTGTTTAAACCAAAAGATGTACACCCAATTTAGAACATTTTATGAAGGGGACTGACTTACAGGTTGGTAATTTATACCTTGGTCTGGCTTCATCATATGTAGACCAGTGACCAATGGAGTCAATCTTGATTTCTTTTGGAGATACAATACTACTTGCCGATTTTCTTTTTTTTGCAACAATTTCTCAATGCTCTGATCAAAAGGTCTTCCTCGTTTCAATGAAAAATTAATATTGTTAGCCTTATATAGCTATTGCTTATGTTGTTTCCTGTCCCAACGTTTGGCCTCAGTTAGTGGCATTTTTCCTTTACATGCTAATAGGAATGTAACAGGTTTATTATCCAACCAAATTACTGAAGATACCTCAACACCATCAATATCACATACGAATTCATGAGAAGATTTCTGGGTTCTTTTTTGAGTTGCTGGTCAGAAGGTAGCTCACAATTAGGTAATCTCGATCGTCTTACTGTTCCCAACGAGTAAATACCACGTTGCAATAGGTAGACCATCAAAGGTATCGAAGTATAAAAATTATCGAAATATACTCTGTGATTTTCATTACAAGGTAATATTCGACAAAGTCTGACAATTTCGGATCGTTTTCTGAATCTATAAGTCGTATAAATTTTAAAACTGGATGAAAAATCAACCGTTCCAGAGGCTTTTTTTTTGAGTGAATCAACAATGGATCTAAGCTTATGTAAACGAATGATTAGTATGATCCCTTGGTACCATCAAATTACTGTCAAACGTGTAATGCCGATTCGAAAAATATGGTCCGCTATTTAATTAAAAATAGCTTTAGATTAAATTCGATTTTATTATCATTATAGATACAGTTGTAGCAGAATATACACACTGCACAGGGTAGCTTTAAACGTATTTAAATTAAAAATAACTTTGAAATCGAGACGTGGTATATCTGTTACTCTGCGCAGTGTATGGTTAATATTATTTTGCATTATTTGAAATCAACTCAGTCTTCTGACGACTTAATTTCGGTCCTTAATTTTCGAAAATGTAAAAAGAATTTTGTCATGGACTATACTGTGGGAAGTATAGTCGTAACGATTCGACGTTTTGTTCCATCAAAAATTAGATTTTTTCGAAACCTCAGGGATGACATTCCGCAAACAAATGTTTGTATACTAATAAGCAATATCATCAATGTGTGAGTCCATTTCAAACAGGTAAAGAAATAATAAATAAAACTTACAATCAATTTAATTTAACTATTCAGGCGACCGGTTTCGTTTTCTACAATATGCAAAGCGTCTTCAGGTCTCGATACAAAGTTAAATAAATGCTGAAATAATAAAAACCCATATTAGGGTGTTGTCTAATAAAGATAAACAAATTAGATGTTATAAATTACAATAATTATGCCAATATTACATGTCTGTGGTTTTTCAAAATGAATAAAAATTAATAAAAAGGTATAAAAAGTTTTAACAGACAAGGTAAGACCCACAAATAGTTATAAAATAGTCTATTAGATTGTAATAAATTAATAAATGAGCAATTAAATAAACATTACCTACATGCCGGTACTCTATTAATTGATGGATGGTAGAACATGGTTGAAACTATCATGTATTGTTGAATAGAGAACTTAAGTCTGCTATTGTAGTTGTTTGACAGTAAACGGGAAGTTCTTGAGGAGATAGATTTGATCCAATGAAGTAGAGATAGGTGTAATGTGATTGTTTGTTAGATGAAAGTGATGTTATACGATTTACGAACATTACATTGTAATACAATGGTATATAACATCACTTTCATCTAACAAACAATCGCATTACACCTATCTCTACTTCATTGGATCAAATCTATCTCCTCAAGAACTTCCCGTTTACTGTCAAACAACTACAATAGCAGACTTAAGTTCTCCATTCAAAAATACATGATAGTTTCAACCATGTTTTACCATCCATCAATTAATAGAGTACCGGCATATAAGTAATGTTTATTTATTTGCTCATTTATTAATTTATTACAATCTAATAGACTATTTTATAACAAGTTGTGGGTCTTACCTTGTCTGTTAAAACTTTTTATACCTTTTTACTCATTTTTATTCATTTTGAAAAACCAAAGACATGTAATATTGGCATAATTATTGTAATTTATAACATCTAATTTGTTTATCTTTATTAGACAACACCCTAATATGGGTTTTTATTATTTCAGCATTTATTTAACTTTGTATCGAGACCTGAACATGCTTTGCATATTGTAGAAAAAGAAACCGGTCGTCTGAATAGTTAAATTAAATTGATTGTGAGTAAGTCTTATTTATTATTTCTTTACCTATTTAATAAGCAGTACTTTTTTACATGACCTACTTGCGCGAGATTTTGAGATTTCTTTCACTTTGGAACACGCTAACATACGACTGTCGTTAACTTTCTGACTTTTATAATATAATATGAGTATATTTTTTTTAGGTCATGGTATTTAGACCTCAAGCAATGGAAACTATTTCACCCGTCGTTGAAACACCTCCGACGACACCTAGACTTATGATTGCATTGCCTTCAACTACTCCTATGGAAGTTGATCGCATAATGAGTTTGGCGGTCCGGGAAACCACTCCTGCAGTAACGGAAGTCGGTAAGTGTGTTTGATTCCTTCGGTAAACATTTCATTTCAATTATTATTTAAAAAGAAGAGATTATTCGAGAATTTTGATTATCTGTATTTAAAATTTTTAAAATACGCTAGCTACAGCGATTTGTGTGTGTGCACGCGTCAATCTCCCCCAAATTTAGTGCGCATAGTAGAGATTTTGAGTTCACGTTCAGAACTGAAGACAATTAAAATTGCCATGCTGTTAAATGCAATAAATACTTCAAGCATCAGCTACAGTGTGGTTGATCAGTGTTGTTGCAGTTATTGCGATGTGCCTCTAAATAGGCGAATTAATTATAAATAATAAAAATCATGAATGTGTTGCTTGTGTGAGTCCATATCAAATAGGTAAAGAAATAATAATAAGACTTACTCACAATCAATTTAATTTAACAATCTGACGACCGGTTTCGCTTTCTATAATTTGCAAAGCATCTTCAGGTCAAGATACAAAGTTAAACTAATGCTGCAATAAAATAAACCCAATTAGGGTGGTGTCTCATAAAGATAAAATAAACAAATAAATTAGTTCATACAAATTATAGTAATTATGCCAATATTACATGTCTGTGGTTTTCAAAATGAATAATTTGAATATATAAAAGGTATTAACAGACAAGGTAAGGCCCACAATTGGTATAAAGTAGCAATCTTATGTTGTAATAAATTAATAAATGAGCAAATAAATAAAACAAAACAAACCAAAACAAACATTACTTACATGCCGGTACTCTATTAATTGATGGATGGTAGGTCATGGTTGCAAAAATCATGTATTGTTGATTGGAGAACTTTAATGTGCTATTGCAGTTGTTTTGACAATAAACAATAAAATTGGATCAAATCTGTTCTCCTCAAGAACTTCCCGTTTATTGTCAAAACAACTGCAATAGCACATTAAAGTTCTCCAATCAACAATACATGATTTTTGCAACCATGACCTACCATCCATCAATTAATAGAGTACCGGCATGTAAGTAATGTTTGTTTTGGTTTGTTTTGTTTTATTTATTTGCTCATTTATTAATTTATTACAACATAAGATTGCTACTTTATACCAATTGTGGGCCTTACCTTGTCTGTTAATACCTTTTATATATTCAAATTATTCATTTTGAAAACCACAGACATGTAATATTGGCATAATTACTATAATTTGTATGAACTAATTTATTTGTTTATTTTATCTTTATGAGACACCACCCTAATTGGGTTTATTTTATTGCAGCATTAGTTTAACTTTGTATCTTGACCTGAAGATGCTTTGCAAATTATAGAAAGCGAAACCGGTCGTCAGATTGTTAAATTAAATTGATTGTAAGTCTTATTATTATTTCTTTACCTATATAAATAATAAATTTATAAAACTTACATTTTCGTTATTTTATAATTTCCTACATTTTTACCATTCAGACACTACGGCAACACTGTGCGTAAACTGTTGTCAAATTGAGTGACGCGCGACGAGGAAAAGACCAATGGTTACTATTTTCTGTATTTTGATTTTAGGAACTCCGAGTCCGACAGAAACACCCGCATTACCACCACCGGATGCGAGACCAGTTATACTCGCCGGCAACGAAGTTGGTAGAACTGTCAGAAAAACTACTAAAACTCCTGGCGCGTCTAGTTCTAGTAGTAGAACTGGTACAGAATTGGTTCCTACGACTTCCCAAGGACACAGGAAGTCGCGATCGAATACACCTTTAAGGGTAAGTTTTTTCTCGGCATATAAAAAGTAATTTTCGTAAATGATAAGATAAATATTCTATATATACTCCACATAACGATCACATTCTTAAGTACATCACCGGTAAATGTATTTTATTGGTATTGTAACTGTTGAGCTCTACCAATTGTTAGAAAACAAATATTATAGAAAAGCATAATTGGTACACAAAGAAATTGGTACAGAAATTATAAAAAATTTCGTTTTAATAAATAAAATAAATAGGTTTGAATACAATAAATACCCTAACATTTGGAAGAAGATAACAACAGATCATAAAAAAACTTTGTTTGCATAAATAGCTAAGTTTTGCAGATTTTTATGTGCTAAATCTAAATCTAGCTTTAGTTTTTTTGTATCGCAACTGTTTCATGGTGCCTAACTTTATATGTAGATGTGATAGGAGCACATTTTTGGATTTGCAAAGTTTTTGCCTAGAATGTTCTTTTCACCTGGTTTTAGAGACCCTCTCATAGATCAATAAAAATTTATCCTGATCACCAACTTTAGTTCTAAAGGATGATAGAAAACCTTTTTTACCAAGACAGTAATGATTTTTTTTTATCAAAAATAAACATAATATAAAAAAAAACTATCAACGGGGTTTTATATTCGCGATTAGAAATTGTACTGAGCAGATGTACCGGAAACGTGAGTTTAGGTTGACACTTTGACAGTAAACTAACTGTCAGCTGTCAACAGAAATGTGTAGATCCATTACACCTAATTTTTCAATGATATTTTAACCATATTATCATGTCATAAAGAACATAAGAATATGGCATCTTTAAGTAAAAAAATCGTTGATCTGTGTCTTTTCCAAAAAAAGAACTAATCAAACAATCAATATTTTTTAGGTAACAAGCAATTTCCCACCAGTAGTAAAAGTAAACGAAAGCTTAATTTCCTTGTTGTTGAGGTTACATTCTCAACTTAGCGGTGTACCTGATAGTTATAACCCGGATGATGAAGAAGGTTCTTCGTCTTCAGTTGACTCAACGGACATTTCAGTCGGTGATGGAATATTCTACATTGCAAGGCTGTTAAAGAAAATTTCATCGTTAGATGAAAACTGTAAAAATTATATTCAGGTACTTTAAAATGTTTTAATTTTCATGGTTTTGGTTTTACATTATGATTATTATTGTAGGAGGCTCGGTTGAAACTTTGGCCATCCAAAGAAGAACGCGAAGAGGCAAAGAAACAAAGAGAGAACCGCGAAAGGGAGGAACGTCGAAGGCGTGCGAAAGAACGACAACAGAAATTGATGCAGGAATTTGCCAACAAACAAAAGCAGTTCATGGAAAAAGCTATGGAATGTGACGATGCAGCTGAAGAAGAAGAGGAGGAGGAGGAGGAAGAAGTAGCGAAGCAGCAGGAGTATGATTGTGTCATTTGTAATCAAAGTTCTCCAAGTACTGAAGAACAACCGATGGGTCTAGTAGTTTTAATTCAGGTTTGTATTGCATAACTACGTCTTCTATTAGTTACTATGTATCTATAAGAGTCATTACAATTACTTTGAGGTTAATACGCTAAATGTTGAAGGAATGTTTATTATTTTTTTATCCGACAAATAAAACAAAAAAGAAATCAACCTGAGACTGACCAAGAGCAACAGATGTGCTCGGGTCAAGAATTAGATATGGACTATAAATAAAACCACACAGAACAGATACTTTGCAGAATATTTGGTGGAAAAGTAGTAGAGGGAGAATGGAGAAGACAAAATAATGTAGAAGTGTACCAATTGTATGCTAAGACTCCAATAACAAAAGTGGTGAAAAAACTTAGAATACAATGGCTCGGACATCTACAAAGAATGCAAGACAAATCAGAGATTGGAAGTTGACAGATAAGAACAGAAAAGATGGAAATTATATCCAGCAATGGGCCTAAAAGGCCTGTTAACGCTATACATACATACATTTAATCAATTTACGCTCAGCCAGAAGCTTAATATTTGTTTGTTTGTTTATTTAACGGGATGAACCCTTTTTCCTTACAAAAATTACAATATACACATCTAATTAACATATAAACTGTAGTCATATATTACAATTTTAAAAAGTATTAATAACATTAATGTCTCAATTTCTTTAAACTATTCTTGAACGAGGACACGGATAAATTAAACAATTCAACACTATCTTGCAAATTATTGGCAGTTCTCAACATCCTTGTGATTTACTCACTTTTACCATAATTAGTGTGATGAAACTTTAGTCTAAACAGGTCAGGAGAGCGTGGTCTTCTAGAATTTACATTAAAAACAATTAATTCCAGCAGTTCCGGACAATCAACATAGCCATTAAGAATTTTATTCAAAAAACGCAATTCACACTCAGATTCTCTATTTTCTAAAGTTTTCATATTAAGTTGACAAAGAATATAGTTATAATCACAGTTAGTTCTATTAAAACTCATTTTATACCTGCAAATTCTTAGGAATTTATTTTGAACTCGTTCCAACTGATCAATATACATATTATAATATGGATACCAAATAATATTACAATATTCCAAAATGAACCGAACTAGAGAACAATACAAAATTTTGAAAGTAAATATTGAAAATTCTCGGGAGTTCCTTTGAACAAAGCCGAGCATTCTATAAGCCCGCGATGTAATATTATTAATATGCCTATCAAAATAATATTATTAATATGCCTGTCTTTGGTCAAATGTAATTCCAAGGTCTCTAATTTTATTTACTTCTGTAATCGATACTCCCTTAAGTATGTATGTTCTATATAACTGATGTTTAGTATTTCTGGAAAACGTAATTTTATAGCACTTTTTTATATTTAAATATAAGGCATTAATGTCACACCAACGAGATAAATTATTTAAGTCAGACTGAAGAGCATCCATATTAGAGGTATTTTTACCTCTATTAATAGAAATTCACTATTATTAATTACTGATGATATATCATTCACAAACAGATTAAATAGAAGTGGGCCTAAGTGCCTAATATGCCAATTTACTACAGTTGATTGGAACTTTATCAAGATGAACTTATAATAATTATTTTAGAAGCTGGATTGAATAACTTAGTCTTAATATATGGTAATGATGTTGTACATGTTATAAAGTAACTTTAGATGATGTATATTACTGTTTTAGAAAATTTCATTGTTTGCCATTTACAGGCTACAAGTATCATAGGTCATATGCGAAGGCACGATCAACCAGAAAGGTCAGTTCTACCAACCTGCGAAGAGGAACAGTCATCGTTTTTCTACAAAGACGATAGGGGCACTTCACTCGGAGCAGAGTATGATAGGAGAATTGATGAACTTGATAGACATTTTGATCCAGTAAGTATCAGAGTTGATGAAAAGGTGTTAAAGGCTAAACTAGGCAATAGATCTGTTTTTATATTTTTAATATAAAATTATCAATTGGTAGATAAAATATCAATTTATACAATATTATATATTGTAAGAAAATATTATTCATGCAATATCTGCAAGTAAAATTCTGTGACGAATTTTTGTTTCATGAGTCACATAATTTTTCATATTAAATTTTAGTAATCGGATTTTTTGTTATTGTTCTCTATTCCTAGCAAACTTTATCTCTGCAACTTCCTTCTGCGGTACTTACTTATGGCTTGTTCCCATCCATTCAAATCCAGCCAAATCACATCCATTTTTCTATATTTGCTTCACAGTTTATAGTTATACAGTAACTGTAAAATAGTGTACAAGGTCTTTCCCAAGAGTATCCGATTTTCGTTTGTATTTATTCGTGATAAACCTAGTAGTATACTTTGACGTATACGAAGACGTCTTACACCTACTGTATAAAAGAAACATACCAATCAATATTATACAAACCATCGAAAACATCTACCTCCAAAATCGAATACAGGCAAAGATAAATGGAAAACTAACACAGTGTATACCAGAACAAAGCGGAGTCAGACAGGGTGACTCGTTGAGCCCACTTCTCTTTAATATAATAATGGTCGAAATAATACAAGCAGTGCGTAAAGTCATGGTCAGAAAACCAAATGTATGACAACATCTAAATATTCACTACAGTGTAAAATCGAAATTGATGGGAAAATAATAAAACAGGAAGCAAGGTTTAGATATCTGGGAATATATATAACTAGTTACGGAGATGTTGAAGAAGAAGTACGACAACAAAGCTTAAAAGCAAGTAAAGCGGCAGGTTCTGTTAATGACACAATCTGCAAGAACAAACACCTAAGACAAGACAGGGAAGACTGTTGGATAGAGAGAGAAGCGAAAACATAAGAAGAGCATGCAATATAGAAGACATCAATGGATGGGTGAAAATACGAAAACAGGAGTGGAACGATCATATCAGTAGAATGGCAGAGGATAGAATAGTACGAATAGCACGAGCTAAGTCACCAAATGGACAAAGAAGTATTGGCAGACCAAGAAAAAGATGGTGCGACAATTTAAACAATTTAGGAGGCTAATATTGAAGAAGAAACAGGCTTTAAAGCCTACATACTAGAAGGAAGAAGAAGAAGACATTACATCGAGTATAATTAACTTTTTCACATCAAATTTGCCGGTTCCTTCAAACTAAACACGCGGCATCTGCTCTTAATAAAAACTCTCCTAAACCTCACTTCACTGACTGCACAATTAACTGCCACAATACTACACATTTTCCCATAAAAAAAGACGAAAAACGAAAATCCATTACAAATTTGACGAACAATTTGGACCAACACCGAAACCAACTGCCTTTGACAGTGGCTCCAGCGAGAGTGACTTCATAATCCTCAAAAATCATTCGCCTCTCCGCATAACGTTTCCATCAACACGAGTAGATAAGGATTAAAAATACTTGTTCGGTGTTTTAGCATATAGAGGGTGCTTTCAATACATACGAAAGAAAATAAAAATGCTACAAGGTAGCTACATATATAAATGCGACACAGGATATACAGGCGATACCGTATTGCTGGCCATATGACTCTTTGTTCATTCTGTACATTTTGGAGTTCAGAAGGTAAATACTTTCGAATCAGTTTGGCTATATTGTAATGAGATTCAACACATTTAAAAGTCTTAATAAATTGTATTATATTACCTTTCATACTTTAAAACTTTGTTGTTTTTCTATCATTGCCTTTAGTTTCAGTATGCATTTCTCCGGTACGATGATAACGATAAAGGACTCCCTTATTCGGCCTTTCTTTATCAAAAGTATTTTTTAAAATGTACTTCTGCATACGGGTATAATTTGTGCTTCACAAGTTCTAACAAAATTATGTAAATGACAATAATCGTTCATAATACGTTTTCGTTGAATTGGAATTGCCTTGCAATATTTAACAATGAAACTGAAACAATGAAGCTTCTGACAAGAGTATGACTTAGAATTATGTTTACAAGTTATCTGTTCTGTCAATGATGAGGCAGAGTCATCAATCAGCCAATCGCGTCCACTGCTGGACATAGGCCTCCCTCAGTTCTTTCCAGTGTTCTCTACACTGGGCCGCTTGTAGCCAGTTTCCCGCTACACGTTTAATGTTATCGGTCCATCTAGTCGGTGGTCGTCCTCGGCTTCTTTTATAATTTCTGGGCCTCCATTCCATAATACGTCTTGTCCACCGTCCATCTTGTGTTCTGGCTAAGTGCCCTGCCCAGTTCCACTTAAGCGTCGTGGTTCTTTCGATGACGTCTTGAACTCATGATCTTCGCCTGATTTGTTGGTTTGTTATGTGGTCTCGAAGGCTCACGTTCAGCATTGCACGTTACATGGCTCGTTGTGTAATTCTAAGTTTATTCGCAGATTTTTGCGTGAGTGTTAAAGTCTCTGCTCCATAAGTTTGTACAGGTAAAACACATTGGTTATAAACCTTTCGCTTGAGACACATGGGAATTGAACTTTTTAGAATATGGCTTAATTTGCCAAATGCTGCCCATGTTAGACCTATTCGCCTCTGTATTTCATGTGTTTGATTGTCTCTGCTTATTTTGATTTCGTGTCCCAGATATTTGTAAGTGTCTGTTTGTTGTATGGTATTATTGTCAATAGTTATATTTCCATTCATTACTAGATTTGTTATAATTTTAGTTTTCTCAAAGTTTATCTTTAATCCTGCTCTTTCAGACAGACTTTTAAGCGAATGCATCATAGAAACTGTATCATGTAAGTTATCTGCGATTAATACAACATCATCTGCAAACCTTAGGTGATTTAATCTTTCTCCATCTATATTGATGCCCATATCTTGCCATTGAGTACCCTTAAATATTGACTCTAGAGCTGCCGTGAACAATTTTGATGAAATATTGTCTCCTTGTCTAACTCCTCGACCTAAGCTGAATTTTTCTGTGTCTTCGTGCAGTCGTATACTTGATGTAGCGTTCTGATAGATGTTTTTGATTAGTGTCGTGTACCTGTAATCTATTCGGCTTTGATTTAGGGCTTCCAGTATTGTTTCAAACTCTACAGAATCAAAAGTCTTCTCGTAATCGACAAATGCAAGAACCAGTGGTATGTTGTACTCGATGCACTTTTCTATTAAGATCTTTATGGTATGCAAATGGTCATTTGTGCCATATCCTGCCCTGAAGCCTGCCTCTTCTTTGGGCTGATAGAAATCAAGTTTAGGTGTTAGCCTCTTTGTTAAGATTTTCATAAAGAGTTTTGGGGCAGAGTATCTGTAAGAAAAAATTTATAATAATATTTGAAACCGGAGAGAGATACCATTACTAAAGCATAAGGTTTGTTCCAACCCGTCATATTACCGTTCTTGAATGGTTACGAGTATGAGCAGTAACACATTTTTCGATACTGAGCATACTCGTAACCATTCAAGAACGGTATTTGTGACGGATTGGAACAAACCTATTGTAGACATTATTTTAAACTGGATTTTTTTGTTGTATATTTTATAACTCATGAAACAAAACATAAAACAAATCCACAAGGAGTCTACGTTCCTGTAGTTGGCTGTATACCATATCCACAAGGAAAAATTCCTGTGGCTGGCTGTATACCACGTATAACAAAAAGAGGTTAGTCTTTGTAAATGGGTATATTTATTTAAAAAACCCTTAAAAGGGCCACATCAATAAAACAAACGTTTTCGGACCACACAGTCCATCATCAGGTTTTTTAAAATCGAAAAATGCTAGGTCACAATGCCTGAGCCACCAAAATACTAGGGTAAAAACCCTTTAAATTACATTTAGTTATGAAAGATTGTACATTGTGTTGTAAAATAACTGTGATGTTCAGTATTAAATTAAATTTTACTAGAGGTAACACATGGCTCAATCGGGTTCCAGAGCCGGTGAGAGAGAACCTCTACACTCGGAGAACATCTGGGAACTGATTGAGGTCAATTTAATTTAATACTGAACATCACAGTTATTTTACAACACAATGTACAATCTTTCATAACTAAATGTAATTTAAAGGGTTTTTACCCTAGTATTTTGGTGGCTCAGGCATTGTGACCTAGCATTTTTCGATTTTAAAAAACCTGATGATGGACTGTGTGGTCCGAAAATGTTTGTTTTATTGATGTGGCCCTTTTAAGGGTTTTTTTAAATAAATATACCCATTTACAAAGACTAACCTCTTTTTGTATACCATATATTAAAAAAATTATAAAAATCCTTTGGTCGGTCAGATAGCTCAGCGGGCTGTGCGGCTGCCTCTCATTCGCTTCACTGTCGAATGGTTCAGTGGATGTGGGATCGAGCCCCAGCTCGGTGTACAGAAAACAAAAAGTCTAACACAGCAGTTTAAAATTCTAGATGAATCTGCGGCTTAGACTAGAATATGCTGGGATCTGATCGGCCTATGGTGGAGCAGTACGGCAAGAGATAAGGGCTTGCGGCTCGGTTATACTCCTCCATAGATCCCTACCGGACGGGCGTATATATATATATATATATATATATATATATATATATATATATATATATATATATATATATATATAAATCCTTTGTAAAAGGTATATATTTAAAAACCCAAACGGGCTAACTTGAGTACAGCCCTGCTTTTAGTATACAGTTGTAAGAAGGAAAGTTTCTTACCTTTGTCTTTACAATTTTACACGTTTAGTATCTTCCTGTCGCTTTGTTCTTTTTCTACTTTTGTTTGAGTTGTTTCCCCTATCGAATTATCCATATTTCAGTAATATTAAATTAATTTTACAACAGAAAATTAGAAAAAACCTCCGCGTGGTCGTTAATCGACAACAAGTACCAGATAACATTCAGAATGCTATAGTCACGTGAACAAGTCCCGAGTTACTATTGGTGTAAATGGACTTGCCCAATATTGAAACTGAATAGGTATATAATATGTAACAGATGTAACAAATAAATAGACTTCATAATATTTGTAAATTTAACTCTTAATTGACAGGTCAATATTGAACAGAAACGTTTTCATTTACATATTTAAAACAGATTGTACAAAATATAAATACACTTACACTTATCACTAAAAATATATTATAAATAAACAGTCACATTTTTTTAGCAATCATGGTTTCTTTCTGTAAATCAAGGATGGGATGGTGGTGTACACGTTCAGACTTGTGGGCACCATCTTCACCTGGACTGTTTAAATTCGTATTTATCCTCGTTACGAACGCAGCAAAGACAACTTACTCTGTCCCCAGAAAAGTAAGTATATTATTAAAACAAGAGATTTTTTGGCTACTTTAAGTGATCTGTAGGAACTACTGACTAATCATTAGCGTTAAATTAAAGCATTTGAGATCAAATTAATTCATTTTTAGGGGAGAGTATTTGTGTCCTTTGTGTAGACAATTAGCTAACTCATTTTTACCGCTGTCGTCGCAGTTAGGCGATAAAACTCAAATGGTGCGCTCAAGGCCAAAAGGAAACATGTCTCACATTTTAGAAGAACTTAATAACCTTTTAATAGAGAATGATAGAAAACCAGTAAGTACTACAGTGATTTTTCTATGTAATTTTTTTAAATGAATATTTTTAGAATACAATGAAAATGGCGGAAGCTATAGGGAAAGTTATGGAAGATATGTCGAACAGTACCCAATTAAAGGCTAGGTTTAAATTTAAAAACGAGAAACCTATAATTCATAATCTGCAGAGTTTGCTTCTATTTGTTACCTCGATAGCGCGAACAAATCTAGAAGTAGAATTGATTCAGAGAGGAGGATCACTCGTTCAGTTTTCAAGCGGATCCACTCTTCTACCGAAAAGAGATTGTATAGGTATGTTAACATTTTAACTCAATATTATATATTCAATTTACAGAATTTACTAATTCAAAACTATTATACATATTGCTGGTTTCAAATGCAGTGACAAGAATTTCTCGGAACAGTAGTGCATAACCTAACAAAGCAGGGGCGTTCCAAAATATTCTTATGAACTACAACAAGCCAAATTGTTGACGATAGGTACAAAAGAAACAAAATATATTAAAAAGTAATACCGTAATTTCGGTAAGTAAGTGACTTGGACTCACTTTCGAAATTTAAATGTAGATTTCAGTATTCTGGATATATAAAAGTATGTTTCTGTATTTATTTGTATTTGTTGTTGACTATTTAAAAAAAATTACTCTAAAACACAAAGAAGTGCTTACTTTATTATAAAAAAAAATTAATATGTGGTGTGCAAAGTCACTAGCGTCAGTTGACTTTGTCTGAAACTACATTTTACATTTATTCTCTGTGATTATTATTGTTTGGGCTAAAAGTCACCCTACAAGATGTAGTCCAGTTACTGAAGGTTTTGACCTCCGCTATTTGAAATTTTGTGTGTTGGTAAATAATTACTTAAGGAACAAAAGTTATATAGTGCCGATATGCGCTTTCACCCTAGTAAACATTTTTTTCGCTAGATCAATACTTTTTGAGTTATTTGCTGTTGAAAAGTGTCATTTTTTATTAAAAAATAACATGTTTTTCAAAGGTTGTTTAAGAATAGCTCTGAAACTAAGAGTTTTGTCAAAAAAAGTGTAACGACTAAAATTAAAGCTCATAAAAAACAAAAAGGTTGGCTTTTTAATCAATATTTTCAGTTCAATATTAACTGAGTTATGGCTGTTCAAAGAAGGTTTGTTTGTGTCTTTCAATACGAGTATTTAACGTTAAATAACAGAAAACGGCACATTTTTCGACAAAAATCCATATAATATTTTTAAAAGAGCTTGAAAAGACCGTTTAGAGTGGTGGAAAAAGTCCTTTGCACAAACTGTACGTGAGATACGATCAAAAAAACGATGGGTTTCTCAAATTTTTATAAAAAAAAACGCAATAAAACTAACGTCATGTTCACTAGGATTGAAATAAATTGTTTTATTTATAGAATTGACTTTATTTTAGTGTTTTTTGTATGATCCAAAAGTTTAGCCACTTTAGAATACCTAGTTTTTGAAAAAAGTATGATTACATTTTTTTTGTGAATATTAAAAAAAATTTTTTTATAATAACTTCAAAACTATAATGATAAGATACGTAAAAGATGATAGGATACAAAAAATAGGTTTTTTTTTCAACAAAATTTTTCATTTTTTAATTTTTTTTTGTAGTTTAAAAAATAACGGAGATATAGTTGGTTGAAGTTTGCTTTATAGCGCATGAACCACTGGTCTCCGACCCTTTGACCCTTCATCCTTTAAACATGAAGGACTTTAGAATGTTTAATATTCCTATACTTATAGCACGTTAAATTACCTATAAAATAGTTTTTTTATGCATGTAGCAGCATCAAAATTAATCGAGTTATTGTAAAAAAAACAATAGTACTTTTTAGCATAAATTTTGGAGCAATCGTTAAAAATATTTTTTAATTCATTTTTGACAAAGGGAGTAGTTGTGAGGGTTGAAATGTTGAAATTATAATAAAATGTTATTTTATAAGCAAGAAATTAGTTTTTGTTTAATAAAATGCACTCAAGAAATGTTACAGACCAATGAAAACATTTTTTTATTCATTTTTAATTCATTTCTGCCATAAGGGTGGTTGTAATGGTTGAAAATTTCCAATAAATAAAATATTATTGTATAGCTAGGGTATTAATTTTTCATTTGTATTTAAATACATAATTGAAATGTCTCAAGCTGCTACGACTTTTTTTTCATATTATTTTTATAAAAAGTATTAGCTTTTAAGGATTTTTAAAGGGTTTTAAGGGTTGAAAATTGTGAATAATTAATTTTCATATTATAGAACATATTACAATATTTACCTTCTGCGAATAAACAAGATTTAAGTGCATAGAATAATTAAATCCATGTTTTTACCAGTTTCTTCAATAAGGGGTAGTTTTCACCCCTTAAAACAAAAAGCGCACCTAGAGCGTATATAACTTTTGAAGTAAGGAGTAGATAAGCTTAATTTGAAATTTTCAAAGAAATCGATGCAGTTTTAAAAAATTCGGAGGTATTACCATATTTTAAGCCTCAGTATCTGGAGTAATCAATCAGAAACAAACATTTTGTTAGATATAAATAATATTTATTTAAATTTAAAACAGAAAAAAACTAAAACTAACATGAATCTCTACATATGTCCTTAAATTCACAAAAGAACAATAAAACGATTTACAAGCTTTTGCAAAACCTTGTATTTTATTGAAACGTTTTGTTTTTTTCCTATCTTATGTTTAGGCAATTCACTAGAGCTAGCTACAGCAATGGTCGCTTGTTCAGAGATTTCTTGATCTAGGCTACTGCCAAGTACAACTTCGTTATTAACGACTCCGAGGACCTACCTCATTTTGTAGATTTTCTTTCTCTGTTTCGCAAATCTGATTATTGGCTTGATTGCTCGCCTGTTCAATTTTCCTTCCAAAGTTATGTTATGCTGCCATTCCAGTTTTCGTTTTTGATTTTCTTGTAGTGCCATTTTCTTTTACTGGCTTCTTAGCCGCTTTTTTTGCAACTGCAGCATCTTGTTGGCTTGTAACATCTTCAGCACATATACTTTTAAAAAAATCCACAAGGAAAACAATTCCTGTAGCTGGCTGTATACCACGTATCACAAAAAAGAGGTTAGTCTTTGTAAGTGGGTATATTTTTTTAAAAACCCTTAAAAGGGATACATCAAAAAAACAAGCGTTTTCGGACTAAACAGTCCATCATCAGGTTGCATAAAATTGCTAGGTTAAAATGCCTGAGCCACCAAAATACATGGGTAAAAACCCTTTAAATTACATATAGTTGTAAAAGATTATACATCTTGTTGTTAAAAAACTGTGATATTCAGTATTAAATTAAATATGACTTCAGGTAACATACATTGCTGAAGTGAGTTCCAGAGCCGGAGAGACTGAACATCACAGTTTTTTAACAACAAGATGTATAATCTTTTACAACTATATGTAATTTAAAGGGTTTTTACCCATGTATTTTGGTGGCGCAGGCATTTTAACCTAGCAATTTTAAAATTTAAATCTGATGATGGACTGTTTAGTCCGAAAACGTTTGTTTTTTTGATGTATCCCTTTTAAGGGTTTTTAAAAAAATATACCCACTTACGAAGACTAACCTCTTTTTTATATACTTTTAACTTCTGCAATTTCTATTTTTCTTTTTCCTTTAACAACTTTATTAGTTGTGGACTGTATTCCCTTTTTTTCTTCAAGAAAATGTAAAACAGCGTCACTTACTCTTGAATGTACTTGTGCAGAATCAGTTTTGTAGTTTGGAATTCTGGTTAGTACTTCCTCTACGTTTTCCAATTTTTTTCAAAGCCACTTTCCAATTTTTTCCTCCATTTACACTAATTATTTCAACCAGATTTTTCAAAAGGGTGGGAAAGATGCTTTTTGGGTTTATGTTTGTTCAATCACAAATTAACCCCTTAATTTGTAATCTCACATTATTCTTAACTTCTTAATCTTTTATAGTTTCACCGTGTATAAGTTTGCATTATATATATATATATATATATATATATATATATATATATATATATATTGCAAAACCATATCGTATGATAATTTAATATTAGTTCATTTACCTACAACTAAATAAATTGCCGAATAATAATATTTTCTAATTGAACTTCCTAAGTGTCGCAATTAAGGCGTAGATTAAATTGTATTATAAGCAAAAGCTAGGTGGTGTGATATGAACGAAGCAATGACCTAAGGTGCTTATGTATCTATTATGTGTGAGATTATAAATTGGGGATTTGAGTTCAAATGAACACAGTCAATATTGAGTAGTTACCGAACGAACACCATATTGTGTAATTACGAGTTGCTGTCAATAAATCATCACTTTTACTCTACAACTTCAACATTTATTAACCCTATCAACATCGATCGACGAGAAGCGGACAAAGGGGCATTACGAACTGAACCGAACTTCAATACTAAGTTCGATATTTTTCCATGTTGGTGTTAACATTCAGTGTTTATAAAAATAATACTTTTTTTTTAGTTCCTCTACTTCACGTATTAGCTGTCCATGCGAGAGTTGCACGAGTTTTAGCTATGTGGCCAGCTTGGATGAGTTTCCAACAATTGTGTGGAATGCAAGCCAAAGTTCCAGTCACTTCTTTAGCACGTGTTGAAAGAGAAGTGCCTCTTTTACTTAGAGATCCTATAGCTTTATTGTTGCAGTATATTTTACTGTTGCCTATGCCTTTGGATCAAAGTAAGTAAATAATATTATTATAAACATTATGTGTCATATTAGGCTAATGCAATATTATAGTTGGTGAAAAGATTTAGGCGAAAGTAATATTAATAAATACGAAGATAAAAATTAGTTTTTTTATTTTTATGCAATTTATTAACACAAATTATTTTTAGCGTACTTTACCACGACTGTACAGATGGTTTATAATTTATTATATTATCAAGTAGTGGCACAAGTGTCGTGTGGATTAACGGGGCTCGAGAGAACTAAAGCCGCTACCGGAGCAAATACCGAACATGTTAATAATCTCACTGACGCATTAGGACTTATCAACGAATGTCTAGGACAGACTGATCTGTATATGGAAAACGATGATACCGAAAGTTGTATTGATAAAAATATAATAAAAGTTAATATGGTTGGATTAGAACTGCAGGTAAGAAAATCTTTAAAATTTCAAATACATAGTTATAATATGATCTATTAAGAGATAATCAATAATAATTAAAATAATATCTGCTATAGCTCTTGGTAGGTGCAAAAAAACCAAATTATAAATGGTTTGCAATAAACAATCAAAAGTTTGTATAGGTTGTAGCGATACGACTACCAAAGAGAATTGAAGTACTATTATAAAAATAATACCTCAAGCAACCATGGGAGCTTATCGTCTATGCCTTGCCTAGCTCAGTATCTCAAGTGTGATTTCGTATTGTCTTAAACTAGGGATTGAACCTGAACCCTTAGCTGATAGCAAATAAAACAAATTTTATCCAATCATTTATTAAAAAGAATAAAAAAACAATCAACCCTGCCAAAGCTTAACAATTTATTCGTGAGGATGATACTTATGGCTTCAATGGGCTGCTTGTGGGTCTTCCCTTCTGCTTGCTTCGAAGGATATTAATTTGTGTAAAGTAAAAAATCTTCATTTAGTGTTTCTTTATAGAACATTGAAAATGGCTCATCTTTTTTTACTCTAATCCACTACATTTTTAACCATGACACTGCTGGGTTATCCGTATTGATTTTTCTTTATGTAATTAATTTAGTGAGTTGTCTCAGATCTTTAAAGTCTTCTCTAAGCATTTTTGTGAAAATGAAAGCTTTTTTCTTTCTACGCCGAATTATGACTGAAAACCAATCTTCATAAATCAGGTAAACACATAAATCTGTTTACCTTTAGAGTGAGTTTCAATTGAACCACAATCTGAGTAGTTTGGTAAGTAAGAGATAGTTACTATTATTTTCACTTTTAACTAACTGTAACAAGGCCAAAATTCCAGATTCTGTTTTGACCCGTGCAGCTGTCACTGTACAATACAACATGTTTTGAATTTTCTGTACGTAATTCTATGTGCTTTGTGACACAGGCACCGATTTCCTGAGATCCTCTCGAAGCTGTTATTTCATCCCATCTATACATGTAGCCTAAGCCAGATGATAGCTCATGGTAGCCCAAGTTGTAAATGCACATAATATTAAGTTTATAGTATGCTATAGATGTGATTAGTTTTGGGAAAGCTAGGGCTTTCTGTAGGTCAAAAGCGAATGCATATTAAGAATCGTCAGTCTGGGCCTTTTCTGTAGCATTTTTCATAAAAGTACGTGCAAGCTCGGCCTTTCTAAGGTCAAATTCATTATCTACTTCAATCTGTCTTATCTCATTATCATCTGTTATTGCAGCTTTTTTTTTTATTTGTAAGCATCATACTTAGGAGCACGTATCTTTTTGTGGTACATGAAAATGAAGGTTGTACTCATTATTGAATGTACGGCGATAAATATCACAGGAAACGGGGACAGTGCCTTGTTTCTGACAGTACTCACTGTATAAGCGATACATAAGGGTAACATTAAGGTCAGAAGATAGATACTTACGATTTGGATTCTTATTCCTTGTATAGTGCGATTGGTAAGATGGAAAATTTTCAATATGTTTCCGGACACAGTTCATGCGTTCTTCAGATATTCTATTGTTTGGTATACCATGGCCTCGATTATGTGAACCAGGTGGTTCCCCTGGTTTTATCTTATTAATGGTCCGTGTCATTCGTCCATCAGATATCTAAAGGTTCCAAGAAAGTATTTTTTACATACTTTCGTGGTTTCGCCTTGTTTATGAATGAAATATTGGTTAGACACTGTCTTACCAGGTCGTGACTGATCCCTAGGATGTTTTACTTCAGGTTTCTTTTGCTTGATCAAACCAAAAGTAAAAGCATTCTGTGCTGTAAATGATTTCAATTTCTAGAATGATTTAAATGTTTTTTTTTCTATCTTCACATGATATTTGTTCAAAACATTTTTTATTGTAAAAACAGTTGTTTGAAAAAGTTTTACTTGGCACAACTTTTCTTTTTGTTGTCTTATACTCACAACCTGAGTTGCGAGGCCACTTTCTTTTTTATTTTCATGCCTCTGTCGTTTTCGTGGTCTCTTGGGTCGTTGAACTTCTACTTCTTCTCTATTACTTTTCCTTTCATGGTCTTGGGGAAGAGATTTTCTCGTTTGATTCACAGTCTTAAACAAACCAACTTTATTAAAATAACACTCAAAAACGTTGTTCTATTTATAGGAGTTTATTTATTGTTAGTGTAGAAAATTTAACGTTCTGAGGTTAGTTTTGATTTTATACAAACAAATATAATACACAAGTTTAACTTACCAGTACTTTCTTGTTGAGAATCAGAAGGTACCCACTCATCTCCTGAGTAAGCGAAAATACTAGGCTCATCACTCACATTACTTAAACTGTCGTTATCCATTTTATTGAAAAATCATAACCGCAAAATACTAAATAACTGCCTTAGGAATGAGAGAATAGTGGTGTAACTCTGACTTGCACCACTATGGACCGCAGGAGTGTGACGTCACATTGTCATTATTACTTTCCAAACAAACGTTGAAATGTCAAATCTCAAGACTTTTTAATTTCTATAAAGTTAACATTTTGCTTCCTCTGCTGCTTTTTCTTGTAAGTATAGTGTTTTTTACGATAATACCATCATAATTCAGAGTTCTATTTCTATGAAATATGGTTTAAAAGTTTAATTAAATAAATTTTAACCTTACTTTATTGATACCTGCATTTTATTCCTATTAACATAAAACAATGTGCTTTATTATTTACACAACCTTGTAAAATTGTTGTAGTAACTATTAGAATACTTAAATATTGCAAAAAGCGGAAAGATTCTATAAAATAAATGAAAAAATAACGAAAAATACAAATTATCCACACTAAACAAGGTTTGTTTGGAAAGTGAAACTGACAGATGTCAATCAAATCTACGTCATCACTCCTGTGGTCCATTCCCCCTACTACTACAGAGATTTTGTTTGACTGTCAAGTTTGTGCTGCTATCTGTGAGCAAACAGAAGAGGTATAACATACACCACTGTTGCTTCTGATAGATTTGAATATGGAGATTTTGAGTGTGTACTTACTCTATTGTATAAAAAAGTGACTTACACCACTTTTCCTTTCACCGTCTCATATCACCGACGCTATAGGAATCGAAGGATTAACAGGAAGGCGTTAAGGATTATTTTAAAAACCTCAGTATAACATTTATGATTTTCTCAATATAACTGTTGTCATTTCTATACTAAAATTCGAAGATTCTTAAGTCTTTTCTAGGATTTTATTTATTTAGCATATGGCTTACATCACAGAATAGATAATTCAATTTACATTCATACAATATATAAATTATTTGAGTTACAGTTATCCAGTTTTTTTTAATATTCCATTGGCTCTTCGGTTGCCATTAAGAAATCTTTAGGGTCGCCTGTGTACGCTCTACTTGATCAGTCTTGTACTGTCTGTTTGCAGCGACACATTCACAGGACGTTTACCCCATTGTTTGGGGGAAGTAGGTGTATCTTTAGCAGGAGTTGCCCAAATCTTGATGGAACGTTCAAATCCGCCAGGTATATCTGTGATGTTCAGTAAACTATGGTAGTACGGATCGATTTTACTTTTTCACTTTTCGCTCCATCGGGAATTTAAGTCATAGTTGGAATGATTAAGCGCTTGAGCAGATTTGAGTTAACCTGGATCGGAGTTGATTTCCAAGAATATCGGGAAGGTCGTTATAGACTCGAAGTTGATGAGTTTCCATAATTTTGTTCTATACTTTAACCAATGCATGTTCGCGGCGTAGGTTGGGTGGAGTTATGTTACTAAGGGTGGGTAACCAAATTGTGGGAGTGGCCATGATTATGCCTGTTATTTTACTACTTACATTTTTTATATTGTAATATCTAATTAAACCAAACGTTTTTTCTTACTATAAGGTGCAAAAGTTATGTCTGCCGTTCCTCCGCATCGCCGCTCTCCTCAAACATCACCTTTATCAACAGCCCCTCCCAGATATTTTTGAAGCAAACAACGAATTCGTCCGATTAGTGTACTATCTCGAACTTGTTACCGAATCTATGGATTGGGGCTGGTTTAATGCTTCCGTAGCTCTTACGTGGTCTATGGATATGGGACTAGAAACGAAAACTCCGAGAGCTTGGTGTGAACAGTTGGGAGTATTCGTTGGAAAAAGCCAACTGGCCGCCAAAGGATTGTTAGCAGAACAACATATATTGTGGTATCCTCCTAGGTTATTGCAATTACCTAGGGAATATGAAAAAATATTTACGGTAAGTATTATTTGCACAAAAAATTTAATGAGGTTTGATTCTAGATTAGTTTTCTTTTTGATACTTATTTTAATTGGCAATCTAATGTAATATCCAGCCAATGGCGATAAAATTGTTTGAGCCTGCACTGATTTGAAATGAAAAACACTTTTTCAAAACGGTTTTTGTTTGAGAATTACTCAAAAAATATGTATTTTATTAAAAAATCATTCTTATAAAAAATGTAGCTTAAAAAAAAACAAATAGAATAATTGATGGTGTCTGTAGCCCCAATACAAGCTGAGAAATAGCTTATTGAAAGTTTGTTCTTCTTCATCAAACGCCAAAATTGAAAATTTCAACGTGAAGTATGAAGGAACCCATTCATTTTTCATAGAAAACTCATAGAATTTTGTTTTGTAATGCCTAAAAAGTATTTATTTATATTTTTTATAAAAGTCTCTAGCACCAATCCTAAGGGAGTTATGCCAAAAATAAGGTTGGTCCATTTTTTTTTCAGCGACAAAAAAACGTGAAAATCACTTTCTAACTATAACGCTAATTAAAAATAATCATTTCCCTTTATAATTCACTTATTAATGTACCTGTAGTATGTTCTATTAGGATTAAGAGAACGAAAAGAACGAGGAGACCGTATGGTACAATTTTGTCAAGCGGAGGAGTTAGTAGTTGCTAACAGTCTTTTCAAGTTACCTAACAGACGACTGTACACATGGAAATCTCCGAGTGACACCAAAGGTAGAGTAGTCAGAAACCAAATTGACTTTGTCCTTGTTAGTCAAAGATTCCGCAACGCTATACTCTCAGCTAAAACCTACCCAGGAGCAGATATAGGCTCGGATCATAATCCTGTAGTAGTCACATTGAGAATAAAACTAAAGATCATTAAAAAACACATACAGAAACAAATTGACGTGAGAAGACTAAATGAACAACATATAAAAGAGAAAACAATAGTGAACATCAAAGAAAATTTACAAAATATAGAGAAACTGAATAGAAATACTGATAACATAGACCAAAAATGGGAGAATATTAAACATGCCGTAATGATGGCAGGGAGAGAAAATTTAACACCGAAAGAAAGGAAACATAAAGAATGGATGAATGAGGAAATACTACAGTTGATGCGTGAAAGAAGGGTACACAAAACAAATAATCCGATAAGATACAAAGAAACAGATAAACTGATAAAAAGAAAATAAGAGAAGCTAGAGAAAGATGGCTAAGTGAGCGATGCCAGGAGTTGGAACAATTGGAGCGAAAATATGACTTTTTTAATGTACACAAAAAGATTAAAGAAATGACAGGAAGGAGAAGAACAACACAGACAGGACAGATCAAAGATACAGATGGTATAATTATAACAGATTTACAACAAAAAATGAACCGATGGACAGAATACATACCACAACTGTTTGATGACAAAGATAGACAAGAAATCTCAAACGAATATACAGATGATACAGGGCCTGATATAATCAGAGAAGAAATAGAATATACAATCAAACAAGCAAAAAGTGGTAAGGCCCCCGGTCCTGATGAAATTCCCGTAGAACTGCTCAAACTTATGGACGATGAATCTATTAAAATACTCCTAGATCTATTTAACACAATATATAGAACTGGAATAATACCTAGGGAATGGCTCCGTTCGACCTTTATACTAGTGCCAAAAAAGGCAAATACAAAGGAATGCAACGAATATCGTACGATAGCTTTGATGAGTCATGCTCTAAAACTGTTGAGGGCAGACTAACAGAAGAAATTCAAATCCGTCGAGGAGTCCGGCAGGGATGTATCTTATCGCCACTTTTATTTAATCTGTATAGTAAAGCTATCTGTGAACAAGCACTCGAGGAAGAAGATCTTGGTCTGATAATAAATGGTGAGACGATCAACAATATAAGGTATGCTGACGATACAGTTCTCCCAACGGGAACGCTAGTAGAACTACAATATTTCGTTCAAAGTCTCAATATATACTGTAACAGTTACGGCTTGAAAATTAATTTCAAGTTATAATTTCAATAACTTGTTCATATAAATAAGTTCAATAACTTCTGTTATAAATATCTAGGTGCTTGGATCACAGACGATACTGATCGAACAAAAGAGATTAGATGTAGAATAGAAATCGCTAGATCAGTCTTTAATAGAATGCGCAAACTCTTTTGCAATCGTGATATCAATATAAAGTTACGAATACGAATGCTGCGGTGTTATGTCTTTTCTACCCTGTTATATGGAGTTGAGGCTTGGACACTAAAACAGTTGACCATAAAAAACATCGAATCTTTCGAGATGTGGTGCTATAGGCGCATTCTCAGAATATCATGGATGGACCGCGTCACTAACACGCAAGTACTCCAAACTTTAGACAAAAGATGCGAAATTCTAAATGAGATAAAAACTAGACAGATGGAATACTTGGGGCACATTGTGAGGGGTGAAAAGTACGAACTTTTAAGAAACATCATGCAGGGCAAAATTAAGGACAAAAGAAGTGTGGGAAGAAGAAAAATATCGTGGCTTCGTAATCTACGTGAATGGTTCGGGTGTAGTTCGATTGAACTTTTTAGGCGCGCTGCTAACAAAGTCGCAGTGGCCATGATGATTTCCAATCTCCGCTAGGAGTGGCACGAGAAGAAGAAGTATGTTCTAGAAGTTTGGCTAGTTTGAAATGTTTAGTTTTGAAAAAAATTGAGCTTGAAGTGAGAATATTTATGAATTTCCCTTTTTTTTTCAAATACTTAAATCAAAAACTACGTAAAATGTATGTATGTACATACAGCGTTAACAGTCCTTTTAGACCTATTGCTCGATGGATAATTTCCATCGTTTTCTATTCTTAGCTGACAGCTTCCAATCTCTGATTCCCATCTCTCTGACATCTTCCATCACTACATCTCTCCATTTCTTTCTTAGTCTTCCTCTCTTTTTTTATCCTCAGGTACTCTCCGAGCAATATTCTTGACTAGTCTATTACCTTGCATTCTTTCTAGATGACCGAGCCATTCTAGTCTACGTTTTCTCACCACTTTTGTTATTGTAGGGTTAGCATACAAATGATACACTTCTGCATTAGTTCGTCTTCTCCATTCTCCCTCTACTACTTTTCCACCAAATATTCTGCGAAGTATCTTTGTTTCCCATGCTTCCAATGTGTTCTGTATGGTTTTGTTCATAGTCCGGCAGCGTATAGCATTGTGGGTCTAATTATAGTTTTGTATACTCTTATTTTTGTATTACGAGATATATCTTTGGCCTTAATTATTTTGCTCATGGCTCCAGCACACCTGTTGCTCTTGGTCAGTCTCAGGTTGATTTCAGTTTCTTCCTTACATGTCTGATCAATAAGAGTACCTAAGTACATATATTCATCCACCTTTTCGAATTCTACAACTGATCCATCCTCCACCTCCAATTTAAAGAATCTCCTGGTGTTTATTCCTTTTTTGCTCGAGATCTTCATGTACTTCGATTTATTAATATTAACTTTCAGTCCCATTTTGGAGCTTTCCCGAATCACTTTTTGTTATATTTGATAGTTCTTTTCCATTTCTTGCAATGAGAACCACATCATCAGCGTATGCTAAGCATTGGTGTTCCTTGTATAAAATAGTTCCGGACCTATTTATCCCACTAACCCTTACAATTTTTTCTAGTACTATATTGAATAGCAATGTAGACAACGGGTCTCCTTGGCGAACACCTTTTTTCGCTTCGAATTCTTCTGAGACTGTACCGTTGCATCTCACAGCACAAATGGTTTGTCTAATTGTCATTTTTTATCAATCTTATTATTTTTTCTGGCAGTTGGAATTCTTTTAGTGTTTCTATTAACTTGTTTCTGTCTATTGTATCGTAGGCAACTATGTAATCAATGAAAAGTACTTGTGCTGAAATGTTGTATTCGTAGCAATTGATCAGGATTTGTTTAAGCATAAAAAATTGATCAGTTGTTGATCTTCCTTTCCGAAATCCTCCCTAGTATTCTCCTAGATTCTTCTCTCTATATATATTTAATTTAATTTATTTAGTATGGCGAGTACTTTATAACTTACCTCTAATAAGGATATTCCTCTATAGTTTGCGCATTCAGTTCTATCTCCCTTTTTGTGTATAGGGATTATAATCGACTTATTGAGGCATTTCTTCGGCATCCAATACTTCTAGTATTAGCTCAACAAGTTTGTTTATTAAGGCCTCTCCTCCATATTTTATGTTCTCTGTCAGAATGCCGCTCTCCCCGGGCTTTTTTGATTTTTCATATCTTTTATTATTTCTTCAATTTCTTCTCTTGTGGGCTTTGGTATTTCTTCTATTACTATTTAAAGTTTAGGAACATAACAATTTTCTTCAGTAGTCACTTCGTCATTTAGCATCTTTTCGAAATATTCTTTCCACCTTTCACATATTTGGTCTACGTCCACTATCAGGTTTCCTTGCTTATCTTTTACATTCATCGTTCTTCCCTGGTGCCCAGTTTTAATGTATTTTACTTCTTTATAAAAAAATTTTACTTCATTTTTCTTGTAATTTTCTTCAATGCTTTCTTAATTTTATCATCCATATACTTTCGTTTCCGCTCCCTTAGGATTCTCTTTACTTTTTTTGGTTGTTCGGCATACCGAACATACGTAAAATGTACAGTACAAAATATTTAGAAAGTCAATACCTACAATTTCGTACTCGACAAAATTTTGCGTATCTCTAATTGTGTTCGATTTATTTGAAAAAACAATTATTTTTGTGAAAATACAAACAAAAAACATAATAACAAACACTAAAACTGCCCAGTACATTGAAATGAAAACAGTTCCCGTTATATACTTCATTTAACGTTTGTAAAAATCTCAAACCATTTTTTTGGTACACATTTCCATAAAAAAGGCAAATTGAAAATCCCCGATCTTCCCATTAGCAAATTGGAAATTTCTAACGGTAATTTGGGATAATATTATTGTATTTACATAATTAAACTACTTTGATAGTTTTATTTTGTCCATATTACCATTATGCTTAAAAATTAATCATATTTTTCTGTTACAGTATTATCACGAACGACCTTGCAGGCAATGCCAATCGGTAGCTCAAGAAACCAGCATATGTTTGTTGTGCGGTACGATAGTATGTCTCAAGCAAAACTGTTGCAAACAACAAAATGTTTGCGAGGCCGTAGCACACGCAGCCGAATGTGGAGCCGGTACTGGCATCTTTCTAGTCGTTACTTCAACTTACATTATAGTTATTAGGGGGCACCGTGCGTGCCTATGGGGTTCCTTGTATTTAGATGATTTCGAAGAGGAGGACAGAGATTTGAAGTAAGTAAAAATAATTTAAAATTAAATTTTTTACAGGTTTATGGGCAAGTAATTCTAAACATAAACAATTTGTGTAATAGTAGCAAGATAAAACTAAATACATACCAATTATGTAACAATTTAGGTGGTTTAATATAATTTTTATATGGCCTAGTTGAATAGCTTATAAGTAAGTGTATATTTTTGTGGTGTTGAATGATGTTGGCTCTATTTCTATTACAAACCCGAGGTACCTTACCTCTCCCTTTAGCTGAATTTCTTATTGCTGCAGCTTTAGAGGACCTAATTCCTGTAATTTTCGTCTTCTTCTGCTACTTATAATAGGTTCATTGTCTCACTAATTCCAGAGCCTCATTTATACGACCCCTTACCATCGTATTGTACTTTCCTGGTGAGATGATTACCAAATCATCCGCATATTCAATTGTTTTATGGCCATTTACTTAAGTTCCTATTTACTTTACAAACCTTTAATCAGTCTTTTGCCAATGTTGACTTGCGGAGCGGAAAAGTTGACCATGAAGTGGCACTATGGCTTCATCATCATCATCATCATTCAGCCCATACTCGTCCACTGCTTAACATAGGCCTCCCGTAGTTCACCCCACAAATTTCTGTCCTGAGCCGCCTGCATCCAATTTTGATGTGTCCGTTTCAGGTCATCCGTCCATCTTGTTGGTGGTCGTCCTCTATTCCTAAAGGCATCTTGTCTGGGTCTCCACTCAAGAATGCGTTTTGTCCATCTGCCGTCCTTCGTTCTCGCGACGTGCCCTGCCCAGTTCCATTTTAAGGTTGATATTCTTTTGATTGCGTCGGTTACTCCCTATCTACGGCGCAATTCTGTGTTGGGTATTCGGTCTCTCAGGGTTAATCCCAACATGGACCGTTCCATTGCCCTCTGTGTTGTTCGAATTTTGTTTGCGGACGTCTTAGTAAGTGTTAGCGTCTCCGCACCATAGGTTAGAACCGGCAGCACACATTGATCGAAGACTTTTCTCTTCAAGCAGATGGGAAGAGCTGATTGAAAAACATCTTGAGCTTTCCATAAGCTGCCCATGTCAACCCTATTCTACGTATTAGTTCATTGGTCTGGTTATCTCTACTTAAGCGAATTTCGTGTCCCAGATATTTGTATGCTGATGTTTGTTCTATACTTGTTCCAGCTATGTTGATGTTCTCACTCAGAACAAGGTTTGTCATCACTTGTGTTTTTGAGTTATTGATCTTTAAACCCACTTGTGTAGAGGCATGGTAGAGTCTTTCGCACATTTCGATGGCATGATCTATGCGGTCTATTATCAGGACTATATCGTCCGCGAACCTGAGGTGACTAAGCTGCTCTCCATTTATGTTTATGCCCTTTTCGTCTAGGTTTGCACGCTTACACATGTATTCCAATAATGTTGTAAACAGTTTTGGTGAAATGGTGTCGCTCTGGCGAACTCCACGATGAATGTTGAACTTGTGTGTATCTTCATGGAGTCTGACGCATGCCGTGGCATTATCATAGATATTTTTGATGACAGTGGTGTAGCGGTGATCTATTCGGCACTCTTTTAAAGCTTCTTTCTGGTGGTTTACTGTGTCGAATGCTTTCTCATAATCCACAAATATTAGGACGAGGGGTTTATTGTACTCTATACATTTTTCGATGAGGCTTTTAATAACTTGTAGATGGTCGTTTGTGCCGAAGCCTGACCTGAATCCTGCCTGTTCGCATGATTGGTAAAAGTCCATTTTGTTCGAAAGTCTGTTATGACTTTTGTAAAAAGCTTGTATATGTGTGAGATGAGGCTGATTGGTCTATAGTTTACGAGATTTGTTAAATCTCCTTTCTTAAACATTAGAATGATCACTGCATTTTGCCATTGTGATGGTGTTGTTCCTCTTTCAAGGCATTCTGTAAAAATGGCTTGGCTTCTTACAAAACATGAATACAATGGCCTGTATTGATAACTCTGCTCGCTTGATATGGTTTCGTGTTAAAAAAAACATCCATTTGTAGATAAACTTTAATTCTTTCATTCTGATATATCTGTAAAACATTTATAGCATTTGTATTTAATTGTTGCTACATTTTGTTTAATGATCCAAAAACTATTTCATTATTCCATTATAAAAATATACTTTTTTCTGTTTTAGGCGGGGCAAACCGTTATATTTAAGTACAGCAAGATACAAACTATTAGAACAACAGTGGTTGGCGCATCGATTCGATCATACAGAAAAAACGTGGGTGCCGCATCGAAACGCCCTCTAAACGCTTTTCAATATAAAACACCACTAGCACCTAGATATATTAAAAATTCATCGCGCGTCTTATGATTTTTTAAATATGTTGTATATATACTTTGTAGAATGTTGAATTTCCAGTGACTTTATATAAAATTTTAAAGTTTGTTTGGAATAATTAAAATGTCGTGTAAAATAAAATAATTCTATTACTTCATATGATTTATGAATTATTGTCAGATTTGTGACAATGATGGGATAATGAGAAAAGGAAGTAAACAAATATTATGCTTATTAATAATTGAATCATATATGGTATATTAAAAACTTAATTATCTTGTAAGAGAAATTGACTCTACTTTTTATATAAATAAGCAATTGCACATAAATCTTTCCACCCTTTAGGAGGTACCCATTAGGAGCAAAGTCTGGAAAATAGGAAACTTTTACAATTATAACCCAGTTTATTTTTCCACCGATTAACGCAGCAGTATTTAATATACTGCTTGATTATGCGAAAAACTGTATCTGCGCCAAGTTTACAAGTGTTTTACTGTAAATGCAAGTTTAGGGACGGTCTTATTATGGACCACATTACAATCGGTGAGATGCTCTTCGCTTGTAAAAAAATATATATGCAGTTCTACTCTATTTCCAAGTAATAGAAAGAAAAGAAAATAAAAAGGAAAATAAAAGGCATATCTGAGGAAGACGAAGACTACTCTATTGCCAAAATGCAGTTATTTGCGCTGTTCCATGAGATGCTGCAACACATATTGACCCAGTTATTTTTTTCCAAATTGAAATAATTTTCAACTTTCATAACTAAACTTTGTTCTTCTGGAGATAATATTCTATGTTTCGACTGATTTTATTTTCTTCCAAATTAGTCATTTTCCTTTAAAGTATTGCGTTACTACACTACTATAAAAAAATAGGTACTTATATACAACTACTACATCCTAAAAAGAACGAGGTTTGTACAACAGACGAAACAATCGAACACAAATTATTTAATAACCAATGCTAAATAATCATAAACACTGCATTGATTGTGATTGCAAAACCTTTTCGCATGATTTGAATAAGATTTTGCTGATTATGTATTTTGCTAAATTATTAAATAACACCAATACAACCCACGACCATCAATTAATTTTTAACGATAAACAGAAATGTAATATGATGACAAGTTTGAATTTGATCTACTTTGTCGTTAACAGAAACAGATTTTTAAATAATTTTTCAATGATTATGTGGATTTAAGAAATATATTACTAAACAAATTTTTAAAGTGTGTATAAAGGAGATTACAATTATTATGGCACATGGTACTCCTTATTTTTCTAATAATGTGTTCTTGTAAAGGCATAACTTTGATTATTAGGTAAACCTACATTATACGATACGTCAGAAAAAAATTTTAAAAAATAACATGTAATAAATTCACTGTTTAAATAAATATTCCGTACTTGTACTATTGCGATAAAATATTAAAACCAATAAACGATAACTGATTGAGCAGTGCCACAGCCACCTTTACTTCCAAGCCATGAAGTAAAAAAGGCAACACCGCATTCTATGACGTCGGTAGTCCGATAATCAGCTGTAAGGTCTACCTAATTAAACGAATTTGAATTTTAGGAAACTGATATTTTGAAAACTTCAATTCATTACAGAAATATTTTTAGGGAAATTAAATGAGTAAAACCTTATATTTACCTAATAAATATATATAAAGTTTTATTAAAATTTAGGTTATATTATCAATAAAATAATCACTAGAGTAAAATTTATTGCACTTAATATACAGTGTCAAACAGTTAATCTTACAAACAAATGCAGTCAAGAATCTCTAGAAATTTTAAATATTAAGTACTTAAGCATATAAATAATACAATACATTAACACGACATTTAAAAAGATTATTAAAAATACAAGACATAAAATTTGTTCAGTAAAAACTTTGTTTTAAAATTTGTTCTAAAAAAACAGTGTAACTATTATGATTAAAAAATTCATCCTAAGAAATCAGACACAATATAAATATGGTTCTAAATTAATCTAATTGAAAATTAAATATTTTACTATTTACTTATAACTTTTGTTGAATTTTCATACTTAGGTATACGAAAGTAGCAGTTTTAAATATGAATAGGTTTTTGTCATATAACCAAGTTTAAGAGAGGTATACATGAAAAATGTGTTGAATGTAACATACCATTTATAACTTGTATATCGATTTAAAATAGCCTATATTCTCAAAAGATTTTTGAATGTAATACTCAAATTTGTTATCACTTATCTAAAAAGCAAATCTAAATGACAAAGTAAGTTCTCTAATTGTGACCATCTTGTTAATTTACTATATTGTAAAATCCATTTCAAATCATTACTACTTAATCTATTTTTACTTACATTGACGATTACACTAAAATTACTGCTAACTATTACACTACATATTACACAAATATTATCACACTTGTGTCCCAACTGATTAATGTTTAATACATAGAAATATACACAGTCACTTGTAATTTTACTTGTCCAGTTTTTCAATGGGATATTATTGTCTAAGTCTAATTGTCATAATTATGTTATCTCTTGTTCCCTCTTCTTATGCAAAAAGTTTCTTCTGTCTTCGGGATTCCTTCTTTCTTTAGTACGATGAACAGTTACATATAATGGTACTTCAGGAAATATATTAGGAACTGCATTGCCTTTTAATTTGGGAAATATTAACCTTTCAATGTGTACATTTCCAACTTTATCTTCTCATTGTTCAGTCCGCTGAATATCATCTTCATGAAAATGTTTGGCACATACTACGGAAGATTTGGTAATTGTATAGCCTTCTCTATGAATAGAGCATAACCCAGTATACCTTCTTTGGAGATCTTTGGGAAACGAAAACGTACTTTCTGCCTGTTTCGTTTTTAAAGTACTGGCATAATTGGTTTTGCAACCAGGTACACAACAATGCCAGAGCATCTGTAACAAAAAAACAAAATTATTATTGTTGTTTTTAGTTTACATATTTTGTAACAAGAAGCAAAAGTATTATTATTTTCAGTTTGTTTTGTAGGTTATATTTATACTTGCCTTTTAAATTGTCGTTAAGAATCTTCTAAAAGTTCTAAATTTAATGAAATTTCACTTATATTAATATTTTCTAATTAATTTAAACACAATTTACAAATAAAACATTCGAATAAAGTTTAAAAAAAAACACTAAATTCAACAAACTTTACAAGCCACGGTCGGACACACTTATATGAAATTTTAAACAAAACAAACCACGGTCGGACTACCACGCGTTGTTGCCAAATTTCTACTTCATGGCTTGGAAGTAAAGGTGGCTGTGGCAGTGCTGATTGAAACATCACAGCAGTATAATGTTATTCATAGAGGTAGTGTAAAATATATCGCCGCTTAGTGGAAAATACTTTAACCAACGATTTTTGCTGTACTTTCACAATTCAGTGCATTCAATATACGCACCAAGGTAACATGAAAGTTTCTGCCAGCTTCTAGAAACCCGTTATAACTTCCAATATATCCCTTACTAGAATGAATCTGTAATCCTGTAGATAATTCTTCCAAAAAGCGCCTGTCTTAAATATTGAACGTGTGTGTCCTGTTGTAACGGGTAGCTCTTTTGAGATGACAGACTCAGTAAAACACAGGTTAAAATAAAAATATATCTATTAATTTTGGAGGTATGTCCATCTCCAACAAACAATTTCCTCAGCATATATTTTCCATAATGTCTTGACCTCGATATTATAGAAAGTCGATAATGTCAACTTTGATTTTCAGTTCAAATTCTTCACATAACGTGCAGATATCTCGGAGGGGCGGTTTGAAGTGCAAGTTAAATTTACTATTGAAGACGTGGTAGTAGTACTTTAATTTCTTGGGTTCCCTATTCTCTGTGGCACATTTTTCTTTATAGAGATCTTATATCTTTTGTACTGTAAGATTGCTGTTGAAATATTTTCGATGAGGGTTTTTCATTCTTGGGCTTCATTGAGCTTTACATTCAGATGCTACAGCTTTAGATATGCATCTATATAGGCGTCCGTTATTTATTTTAAACGTAGCAAGGAAGTATGTCTTGCATACCTTCTGTGTTTTCGTATCATATTTCAATAAGTAGTGAAATACTTGCTGCTTGTTAACAGCAGAGCCATCTTTTGGACGTCTACGGTTTACAGCACTCGATTTTACCAGGCCATAGAGATATAGATTATGTTCAACATAATTTCCAAGTTTCCAAAACTCCTTAAATATTGGTTTTCTCTCAGTTTCTGTAAACAAAGTTGAACACTTTTTGATACAACCACAATCTGGGTTATCAAACTGCTTTTCGGGTACTCTCATTCCATTGTTGGCAAAATACTCTTTCCCGCTATTTCTACTTTTCTTTCTTTGCTGTATTTTCCATTCTTTTTCTTTTCTTATTCATTTTCTAGATATGGCAGAAGTACCTTGATTTACGACGGCTTCTACAGCAGCTGGCTCATTTTCAATTACTACTGTTTCCCCCTGAACAGTCCACGGAATGTCATGGCACTCGTTGATGGTGTTGGTTGTGGTGCTAGACCACGAGTGATGGAAATCGGATTTGCAGTGAGTTCCATCAGCAGTTGTTCATTACTGAGACTCTCATCACAGTCTAAAATAATAACACAATGGTTTAGTGCAATTAAAAAGAAAAATATCTTAAATAATGTTATTTAAACAATTGAGACCTAAGGTACGCAAAGATAAACTTTAGGTACTCTTAATAAAATAACTAAAATGTTAATTGCAATTGGATACTAATTTTTTCCTTAAAATATCATTACTTTTAGGTTATGTTAAGTTATGAGTACTCACCGAATGAATATTCATTATTCATTCATACATTTATATATTGAGTGACACAAAATCTTTCAAATAATGTATGACATGCCATATATGACTTTTTGACGACTTTCAATAAATAAACAAATGAAGTCTAGCAATATCTGGAAAATAGCTATATGATCAAATTTAAAATGAATTTTAAATGTCCCACTAACATATCAGAAAATAATAAATATTTGTCTTAATTCAATTGCCCAAAAATTTATTATTTGATGTTTCATGGTAAAGTAAATTGGGGGAGAGAGGCGGACTTTGGACAAGCACTGTGTATATAACGATTGGCTAGTAATATCTATTCTCTATGAGACGCAAAATGATATTGCAATGTTTTGTAATAAAGTTGAGTTTTTGAATGGTAAAGTACTTATGCTAAAAGTTATCACCGTTTAGATTCTTTGTTCACCAGAGATCGTTAGGTACAAGTCACAGAGGAGAGACTGCCAAGAGGTAATTGTTTTTCTTTTCTCATTATATTTAATTATAAATAACACAGAAAACAAAACAAAAATTGATTTAATTATTCCAAATGATATTACATACCTAATTGATTTGTATAAAGGATAATTTTGCAACTGTACATTTCGTTTTTGTGTACTATTTTGAGAATTCACAAGAAACTATTTAGTAAACTATTTATTCTTAAATACTTTATTTTTATGTTTATTTTTTGTGTCCATATGTGTATATTTTTTATTTTTTTATGTGTTTGTGTCCTCATCTTTTGCTTGTCTGCTTGTTGAATAGAGAAGAAACTATAAAATATTTATATTTCAGTGATAGATGTAATGATTTTTACGGGATGTTAATCGTATACAAATTACAGGTTCTTTGAAAAATATTTTTTTCGTATTGATTAAAGGTAATTTTAAAGTTAAACAATGTATTTAAAATGAATTCTTATACAACTACAAAAAATAAATGTTTAAAAATTAAGTTCTGGTGTATACATATAAGACAGACATATTAAATAATGATGTCAGACAATAATGGATTGGAGAGAGAAATAGATGTCGTATAGAAAAGGCGAGAGCTGATTTCAATCGCCTCAGGAAGATTTTATGTAATATGCACCTGAACATTGATATAGTAATCGTCATTTCGGAAGGCATCTAATTTGCATATTATGAGGCATGTCGAAATTGTATAAGAACCGCCTTTGAAGTTGGTGATTGGTTACTGAAATTTTAACTAAATGACAGTGGCGCGCACTATTCAGTAGATACAGCTAAAACATATTATTCTGAATAAAAGAAATTTTTTAGTTTTCAATAATTTTGAACATATAGCCAACATTTGAAAAATGATCAGTAAGATTGAATGATAAGATGACTATTTTTATTGTACAAAAGAATTATTAAGTTCTGAATATTGATAAATTTAATAAAATGGATTTTTAAAATAGCAATTAAATGTCAAGCGTATTTGCCAAAATATCAATAAAATACCAAAATATTAAGAGTGAGAATATTGATATGCTAATGAACGGTCCCAATTATATGTAGCTAGAACTTGATTAATTCTTTTCTTAGAAGCCTTTTAGTGATATAATAGAGTTATGCAAACATAAATATTCCTGTCTTTGGGAAAGGCCTAATTTCATGCACCTATCCGATTTAAGTCGTTTTTTTTTTAATATATATTAGCGATATAATAAAGACTACCCTCAATATTGCTGTTATTATAAAATATATGCACATATTAATTTGTAAATGAAAACTTTAAAGATATAAAATTAACTCTATATACATACCCTTTAAAAATTCATATACCTAATGTGAATGTTTCAAAGAAGAACAACAAAATCTAATTTAATTTTCTGCTTCCAAAGAACACTCGATGTCACTGTCGTCACTTCCTAAGTTTACTATAATGGGATTAGTATCTTCTTGATGGTCTATTTAAACTTTGGATGTTAAATAACTGTCTTCTATTTTAATTGCATGATGGAATCGTTTTCTCCACTCATCTGGGGTTATTTCTGAAACTCGTTTTTCCAAC